AAAACGATTTTATTTTTAAAAATTATTTCCAAACAGTGACTCGAACCCCTGTGATTCCAGTAATATCGCTGCGTATCATGATCAGCTTATTGTGGGAGGAAAGCCATAAGTGATGCAGGGGATCCTTTCACAAAGCACAAAGGTGATCGCAAGGTTGCTTCGTGAAAGGAGCCCCAGGTCTCAGACAGTGGTGAAACCCACGAGAATGGGTGTGGTGCTGACAGGGCTTGAAACATTTTTGGCGATCCAGGATCGAATCCAAGTGAACACATGGATAAGGGTAGTCGAATTGAACTGTATATTTGTGCACAATTGTGGTCTTTTAGTCATTGTTATAACAACACTGAAAATTCGTACAGACTGGCAGTCCAAAATGGCGGCTATCTTCTCGGTGGCTCCGATGCTGTGGAAACCGGAAGTCGCAAATTAAGATGATGCTTGGGAAGATATTGGTGACGACATCAATCACCTGTAGGTCATCAGTCATCTGATCACGGCATCACAGCATGTGATCGTTGTCTGATATGCAACAAATCTAGTACACAGATCAGATTCGAACACAGACTTTGCGGTTTTGAGGTGAAGTCAGCTTTCGATGTGTCCATCCGCGGTTAGTTTGTATCTCAGATGTGGCTGGACTGACGTGTGATAATGGTTATATATGCAGACCTATGGAAACCTTGTGTTAATTCTTCTGCAGGTGTGCGACAGCACATGAGCATCGGCGTAGGTTATCTCCCCTTGCATGCGACGCCATTTTAAATCTCCGAAATCTTCAGCAATAATTGACAAGGAATAAAGAGATTATATGCTTCTTCCAAAACTGATCCTTGTCTTCAAATAGTGAAATTACTTCCGGAGTATTATTTCTCATGCACAATGGCCAAGACATACAAACGTATTGCCCATAGGCGTGTGAAGGCTTTTTGCCAGGTAACATGAAAATCACAAAGCCCACATCCAGATCAATCAATGTGCTGATGCACGTAAAGCACACAAAGACTGATGAAAAAAAGGGACCGGAAGAAGACTTTGCATCGAAAAATTGTTTGGGAGCTGCAATCGCTGTCACTGCCGTTGTTTACTTGTACAAATAGATGCTAAGCGCACAATTAGGTGAGCGCTCCACGGATCAATGCCTGCATTTATTTGATCAATATTAGCATTACGTGGAGGATAAAGGGATGTTATTAATATTTCATTGCACAGACCATTTCTGGATTTTCGTGTCTCGGCGGACTTTGGTAATGTGGGTGGATAAAAGGACTGGTTTGACGGTAGGTCGTCTTGCCGGACTTAACGGTGAAGATAATATTACCATGGCTGAACGAGTATAGTCTTGCGTCTCTTTCTGGAATATTCCAGCTATATGTCGACGGAGACACAAAAAATGACTATTAATCATTCTGGGGACGCTTCTGGGGAATCGAACCCGGACTTCGGAGAGATTTACTTCTGAATGCTTTAACTAGTGAATCATACACAAGTTATTTAAAGTTCTTTCAAGGACCCAGCAGAAAGTGAACAAAATTAGTTAAAATGTCTATGGAAAAAAACCCTCTTTTTTAAGCACCATCGCCATTTCTAATATACTGAACAGCAAAAGTAACGCAAGTCTGGCTTTTTTGTAAAGTTTTTTAATAGAAGACAACCAAAATCATGTCTAATCATTTATTCTACAGAAAACACTGTCAATTTAAAATGTTGAAAGTTGCTGTTGACATTGAATTGCAATAAGTTCAAATTGATCACAGTCCGTCAAATGGAGATACCCCTGAACGCGAAAAGTGACAGTCTCTTTAGTAGCGCGTATAGCCACCTTGAGCTTGCACACAGGCCGTGCAACGTGGCCTCATTGAGTTCACTAGAGTCTGAAAGACTGCCTGAGGCAACTGGTTCCGCTCAAACACCAATCTGTATTCCAATTGTGCAAGTGTGAGTGGCTGTCTACCTGCCCCAATCCTCCGTCCAATTTCGTTCCAGAATGTTCAAAGGGAGCCATATCCGGGAAAGAGACGGCCATGGAAAAATGTTAACGTTGTTCTGAGCCAGATGATCCATCAACACCCTTGCTGTGTGAGGGCTGCTGGCGTTGTTGACATGTCAAAACTGGCCCCACATGGCCGTCGGCAGTGGATTCCACCAGCCCGAAGACGACGCCTAATCGTATCGCTGGACACTGCTCCACTTGACCCAAGAACTAAGGCTGCTGTTACTGTTTCTGCTTGAGTTCGGTTCTTTAGATGAGTGACCCGGATGAACCGATCTTGCGTATGAGTTGTCACTCGTTGCCGTCCGGTACGGGGACGATCAGCAGCAACCCCGGTTTGTTGATGACGTTGAGCAAGTCGTGTAATGTGGTAAGATGACAGCCCAATTGCCTAGCTACAGCGGTTGCAGAGGTCCCGCCGTGCAACTTTCCAATGGCCACTCCCCTCTGCTCAGTCGTTAGTCTAGGCTTCGTTTGTGTGGCGTGTACTTCTCCTAGTGTCAATACGGAACTGTTTTTTGACACAAACCTTTATAAAGAATACCTCAGAGTGAAATGCATGCTTTCCATCCAGAACCGTCGACGCACGTGCTAAAATTATGGTTTTGATGCACTGTTGGTGTGTTTGTGCGAATGATTCGTATGGACGTCAAATTGCATGACATCATCTCATCTGGGATCATTACGTCACTTTACCATGAACGTTCCATAAACATGAATGCTAACCTTTATGAAATTTAATTTTTTCGAAACTTGGGTTTCTTTTGCTGTTCAGTATATAATGTCCCGTTCTGAAACTCCTTATGGGGCTATGGGTTGCCTGGTCGTCTAAGGCTGTGTGTGTGAAAAGTGTCCTCGGGAAAAAAGTCCTAACTTGGCCTAGGAAATAAAGTCCTCCGGAAAAAAGTCCTACTTTGAAAAAGGAATTTTTGACAAAAGAATATAAAGTACTTTTAGTTTTTTTTAATAGTTTTTCATAGCGTTTACTGACTTTCATGTATTGTATATTCATGCAACAAATGTAAAATAGACAGATCTTGTATACATTACAGAGGTTTTCAGCTTTATTCCTAATATAGAATATTAATGAATATTAATGTCTACTGACAGCATAATCAGTGAACAAAAACGCGCATGGACATTTTGACACTTACAACTCATGCCTTTGAAAACATTGTTTTAAAGATCACAGATCAATTTGAATATCTAGTCTGTCTGTTATAATCACAAAATGTAAGTACTTCATGTACATGTAAGACACTTTGACACTTATAATTCATGATCATGCCTTTGAAAACACTGTTGTTATAACAATAGGACTTTTTGTCCGGAGTACTATTTTTCTGGTACTTTTTTACCGAGGAAATATTTTCCAAGGACTTTTTTCCTACAAATTCCCTGTGCAGAGTAATGTCCCTTAGGCGTGTTGGAATCCTGTGATTGTGTGTTCGAATCCCCGATTCACCCCGAATATGATTCCTGGTTTACAAGCATCATACCCAAACTATATGGTTTCACAAAAGCCCAATACCTGTTTCGGGGCTTTCCCCGACTATTTTAAGATTTCTCGCCGTTATACGAATGAAATAAAATTAAGTGTTAAGTAGTGTTAAGCCCAACTCTCTCACTAAAATATCTCTAAATTCAGCCAGCAAAATGACCGATAAAGGACTCGAACCTGGATCAGGCAAACCAATGTTCTACAGGGAGCAAGTAGTAGGAGAACCATATCAGGTGATGACGTGTTCCAACTGCCATTTCAGACGAAAGTGGAAAGACGAAAGTGGAACCATATTTGTCGTTTATGGAGATTATGATCCACTGCCTTCAGTGAAAACTGTAGTGAAAAGGATGATCACCCTTTTTTAGCCAATGAGATAAGAAATGGACAAGCCTTTAAAAAATGCTATAAAATTGTCATTAAATATAATGAAATATTACATTTCGTTATTTCAGCACCTCATATTTGAACCTATAACAACACAAAATGATACCTTAAGGACATAATTCGTTTTCAGGAAGTAGTTTTAAATATTTGAATTTGAAAAAGATTTTGAAAAGTCCCACCTCAACAGCCTACATTTCATTATGTACGTAGTAAGTCATTATTATATTTATCTGAAACGTTATGATCAAGTGTCATACCGCGGAATAGCAACTTGAAAGAATGTGGTATTTTTCCAAGTCTTTTGATTGGTATATTTACAGTTTCTTTTTCTGTAAAGTTTATCTTGCAAATTAATGCACTTAAAGCTCTAATAGTTATTGCATATTTTATATTTGGGATTACACGTTTTTAGTAAAGTACAGATTCTAATTCTTTTGTTGGTTCGCGTCTCATCTGGGATTCGTACCCACACCCTCAGAGTCAGGCACCTAATCGCCAGCACACAAAGTCAGCCGCCTAACCCGCTCAGCCACCGGCTTCCACATTGATAGATATTGATTCAAATATATTATTGTTTTGAAGCCAAATTATGTTGCGCCGTCTATGAGATCTTATCCATGCAACTTACGTGAATAATATGTAAAAAGGTTTATCTCATTGGTAGATGACCGTCAGAGTAAATCAAACCCATGGTCAGCTGATAGAAATTCAAATTTGAGTAATTCTTTTCACTGCAATGAATGGTCCCTTCTGTAATGATTATTTCGTTTCGTTCTCAAGTCCGAACAATTGATCACGTGACATTCGATCAGGTCACCACACGATCAGCTGCGACGAGACAACAATCAACAACCCATCCTCTTGTCGTCATGTGACAGATGACATCCGTGTTGTCTCCGGGTCAGCTGTTGGTTTGTCCACGTGATGTACGCCTCAACGATGTCATATCCTGATATACACTCATGTACACAGGTAGCCTAGCCTATAGACACACTTCCTGTCGTGACCCGAACTGTGATTGTGAACACTAGTCTTGTCTGAGAGCTGTGGCCTGAATCACCATAACAAACAAACAGCGATGTCTCGTTCTGTTCAAACAACGACAGAAACATGAACGTGATGCACTTAACTAGATTAGCATTTTTAACGTTACATGCAAACTTCTCTTATGTTTACTTCAATGTGGAATATTTATGTGAAAGATCTATGATTTTTTGCTCGGGGATTTATCAGCGGTACACAAGCATGTTTCCAGGGCAATTGCAGGCATTTCAGGGGGAAATCGTTATTTTCTTAAAAACCGGAATTTGTCTGTGTTCTTTATCTAAAAGCGTAATTGGTATTTAACAAAACAATCTATGTGAGCCGTACTGCATTCAAATCAATAAGGTAAAAGAACTTTAAACATTTAAGACTTTTCCTCTTTTTTCATGTAAGTTAATGTTATTGATGAAATTCTAGTAGTAACCTCATCACATAATACAAATCTATATAAAAGTCCTTTGACTGGTCTATAGATGGAACCCAGTGTTTTCTAAGTCTATGTCAATCTCAGTACACACAATCTTTGATCGGTCTGTATTAGTAAACCCAATCTGTTGTCTGTCTGTGTCTTTAAACCTGATCTGCAGTCCATCTGAGGGGAACCACATCCATTGTCAGTCTAAAGTGAACCCAAGGTTTCAGTGGGTATTCAGTGAACCACATCTGTTGTCAGTGTGTATCAGTGAACCACATCCATTAACAGTCTGTGTCAGTGAACCCAATCTGTTGTCAGTGTGTAACAGTGAACCACATCCATTGTCAGTCTATGGGATACAGACTGACATCTGTTGTCAGTTTACTGATAGACCCAATCTGATTGTTCACTGATAGACTGACAACAGATGTTGTTCACTGATAGACTGACATCAGATTAGTTTATGGATACAGACTGTCAACAGACTGTAACAGTGAACCACATCCATTGTCAGTCTGTCAGTGAACCCAATCTGTTGTCAGTGAACCCAGTCCGTTATCAGTGTGTATCATTGAACCCAATGTGTTGTCAGTCCCTATCCGTAAACCCAATCTGTTGTCAGTCTGTATCCATAAACCCAATCTGTTGTCAGTCTGTAACAGTGAACCACATCCATTGTCAGTCTGTCAGTGAAATCAGTCCATTGTCACTCTGTACCAGTAAGTCTACCCTATCTGTCTTCAGTCTGTACCAGTAAGTTTACCCTATCTGTCGTCACTCTGTACCAGTAAGTTTACCCTATCTGTCTTCAGTCTGTACCAGTAAGTTTACCCTATCTGTCTTCAGTGTGTACCAGTAAGTTTACCCTATCTGTCGTCACTCTGTACCAGTAAGTTTACCCTATCTGTCGTCACTCTGTACCAGTAAGTTTACCCTATCTGTCTTCAGTCTGTACCAGTAAGTTTACCCTATCTGTCTATCTGTCTTCAGTCTGTACCAGTAAGTTTACCCTATCTGTCTTCAGTCTGTACCAGTAAGTTTACCCTATCTGTCGTCACTCTGTACCAGTAAGTTTACCCTATCTGTCTTCAGTCTGTACCAGTAAGTCTACCCTATCTGTCTTCAGTCTGTACCAGTAAGTCTACCCTATCTGTTGTCACTCTGTACCAGTAAGTTTACCCTATCTGTCTTCAGTCTGTACCAGTAAGTTTACCCTACCACTCTGTACCAGTAAGTTTACCCTATCTGTCTTCAGTCTGTACCAGTTTACCCCAGCTCTGAAAGTTTACCCTATCTGTCGTCACTCTGTACCAGTATGTTTACCCTATCTGTCGTCACTCTGTACCAGTAAGTTTACCCTATCTGTCTTCAGTGTGTACCAGTAGGTTTACCCTATCTGTCTTCAGTCTGCAGCTGAAAATGTGGAGCTGAAGCGTCGCCTTCATCGACTTCGGGAGCACCGAGATGAGCTACAGAGAGAGCTGAATGTTTTCAAAGAGAAAAAGAAGGAGGAAGATTTACTCCGGAACTATGTCACAACTAGAGAGTAAGATTGTTGAAGATTACATGTATAAACAACAGACTAAATGCTGAAAACATATTATTGTCATGGAAACCAACAACCCAATATGTGTATAAGCTCAAGAGGACTTCCAGTCAAATGGGACATTCAGAACATGTAAATAATTTAGAGTTTAGACTCCATTCAGTGCTTTCAATTCACGGGCTGTAAGGGAAAATAATGGACTTCAGGGACTGTAGGATAGATTTGATTGTTGGGGATAAAAAATAATAATAATAGTCTGTTTATGTTGAGCATTTATCCATGCACGTTGCATGCTCAAAGCGCTGACATATCTGTGCTATAAGGGCACACTTAAAAGTATCTTCTTCTATAAAGTAACCCAAAATCATTTATATTTTGAGGAATCAATGATAAATTTTCTTGTTGTTTCTTTGAAAATGAACATCATTTCAAAGATTTAAAACAAATATATAAACATGCTTACCTCAGAGATTGATTCATACATGAAACGTGGGAATTCAGAACCTGAGTAGCATGTTATCAATCTCAATGAAAAGGAAGATGGAAAGCTGGGTAGGGACAAGATGTGTGCAGAATGTCCTTCCTCTGTTGGTAGTGTGTATGTGCAGACTGACCCTCGTCCCTGGCACACCAATAGGCTCGGTCAGAAGCTGGATGAGAAAAAACACACAGATCAAGAGTCACAGAAGCTGAACAAGTAGGTGGATTCCATATTGTGTTCATGCCATCTATGTACATATGAAACAAAGCAGACCCCTAGGGTTCTTCTTCTTCTTCTTCTATTCTTCCTCCTGAAGTTCGGGTTAGAACATTGATCTTCAGTAACCCCCTTGTCGTCTCTTCTTCTCACCCTTCTTCTTTTCCTCCTGCTCCTGCTTTCTCCTGGATTGTCAGGTGCAGCTTCTATTTACAGAGAAATATGCTGGAATATTGCTGATTTTGTAAACTCAACTCAATCAAAAGCTAGGTTATCTTCTTCTCCCCTTCTTGTTCTCCTCTTCTTCTCCTCCTCTTCCACAGGTGCAGCCTTTTGAGAAATATGCAGTATTTTGTAAATGCAAAAAAGCTAGGTTACACACTTTGTCCCCTAAACTTCTAGTATGGTTTCTGGACATGCTGTGTTGCAGGATGCTGACGATGCACTCTCAGCTGATGAAGAGGTATGAGAAGGAGGTGAAGCAGAACATGGCTCACTTGGAGAGCATCGCTGACCTCAATGTAAGCTCACTTGTTGAACTGAAGAAAGCAGCTGTGTGATAAGCATGCAGATGGGGAGGGGGGTCCTTTAGTCTATCCTAAATTACTACTTGAAACTAGGAATCTATACTAAGCAGCCAAAGAAACGTCAGTTTGGAATTTTCCTTCACAGAAACGGATAACTTACATGTAAACTCATTTAATGTTTTGATTGTATAGTTTTGACAACATCTCCAACTTTACCTGAGCAAAGACATTCCTTCCCAAACTCAGAATGGAGCAACAAATGGTCTCAAAAAGGCAACCTGATCTCGGAGATGGTACAGTGTTCTCCATGTTTTTCATGCAACTCATGCTGCACGTGCTGTTCACAAGGACTAGCCCTATAAAATGCACCCCGAAACTTGGTTGAAACATTCACATTACAACGTCAGCAGGATGCTGCGACTCATGACAGCTCAGAGGAACCAGGCGCTAGGAAGACTTGAAGCTGGCCACTCTGCACAAGCCGTTGCCAATCACTTCCAGGTCAATGTTCGGACCATCTACAGGCTGCAGCAAGGTTTCCGGACCACCAACACCACAAATGATAGCCCCCGTACTAGCAGACCAAGGGTGACCACAAGACAACAAGACTGCCATGTTGTGTGTCAGCATGTACAGAATCCCTTCATGCAGGCATCCGAAACAGCACGCCAGACAGTGGGAACACATGGAAGACCAATCAGTACTGATACAGTACGCCGACATCTTAACAGCGGGAACCTCCATTGCCGTAGACATTACCTTGGACCTATCCTCACCCCTCGTCATCAGCGTGAACGTCTACAGTTTGCCCTACAACACCACAACTGGTGATACGGGCAATGGAGAACTGTTCTGTTCACAGATGAGAGTCGGTACTGCTTATCAACTGCAGATGGCAGAACAAGAATATGGTGACGACGTGGCCAGCGTTACTCAGACCAATGTGTTATGGAAAGAGACTCATGGGGAGGTGTAAGCATCTTGGTATGGGGTGGAATAGGCCTTAACCAGAGAGTGGGTCCTGTGGTGTTCCAGAGCCTTGGTCCAGGGAGGGGAGGCAGCATGACAGTGGTGCGCTACATCGACCAAGCTCTCAGACCCCACGTCATACCACATTTTGCACGTCACCAGAACAACATTTTCCAGCATGATAGCGCCCGGGCCCATATTGCCAGAGCTACACGGGACTTCCTACAGCACAACGGTGTCAACATTATGCAGTGGCCAGCCCTTAGTCCTGATTTAAACCCAATTGAACATCTTTGGGATGAAATTCAGAGGAGACAGAACAATGTCATACCAAGGCCGAACACAGCCGATTTATTGCGCCATGACTTTCTCAGAGTGTGGTTCCAGGTGCCAGTGGCCTTCATCAATCGATTGGTGCACTCCATGCATAGACGCTGTGCTGCAGTTATTGCCGCTCGTGGTGGTCACACTAGATACTGAAGTCAAGGGTCTGAATGGACTGCAAACGTTCACGTAATGTCCTGAAATTGTGCTGAGTTATTCATTGATGTGTCAAGATATTGTACACAAAAAAATGTTTTGATTCGCATATTATGTCCATTTCTGTAATGATTTGATTACAATGCCTATCTAATGTTGAATTCGTACTGACGTTTTTTTGCTGCTGAGTATATTATGTTTTGACAGTTGGCTCACCTTATTGAGAATCAGGCATGCTTATGTCATGATTTGTTTCACCATCGTCCATTGTCCTTCATCCATTGTACATATTTTCTCTGAAAACACGTTCCCACCACTGAGGGAGCGGTGGGTAGCCTGGTGGTTAAAGCGTTTGCTTGTCACGCTGACAACTGATTTCGATTCCCCACAATATGAAGCCCATTTCTGGTGTCATAGCATTGCTAAAAGCGGCATAAAACCATGCTCACTCACTCATTCACTCCCACCAATGATGACACCCAATTCGTTTAAGGAACCACATTGAAAAAACTGTTATGGCTGTTACGAAGTCATCATTGTTCGAACTGTAATGACATGTGGTATAGGTGTAGTTGGTCATGTGACTCAGCATGAGTTTGAAGAGTTTTGCCACAACTGATATCTTGACGTTTCTGTTCTTATTGTACAACTGATAACTTATGTTTCATGTTCATGATATTGTGACCAGTATTTGCCCTTTGCCAAGCGGCTAAATTATCTCAAAGTGCATTGACACTACTGACAGACATTTTCGTCAGATCTACTGGCCAAAACATTACATGATTGTTCCACACCCACACTTAAGTTTGTTCAAGACATTTCTCGTCAGATCCCCTGCCGTGATGTTGCTGGAATATTGTTCCACACCCTCCAAAGTTTGTAAGTAAGTCAGTCAGAAATCTGAAACTGACTTTCAATATGGCCACCACAGCATATATGTTTCTCCTTATGATTGCATCATATTTTGTTCTAAACATTGTGTGTTAATATTGATTCAGAAAATATTTTAATATCAGTACTGGAACTTTGATTAGTAACTATATTTTGCCATCTAGCCTTTTAATATCCATTACTCAGCATGTTTCTTTGAAGATTGAAAGTTCTTCAGCAACCCATGCTTTGCCATAAAAGGCGACTGCTTGTCGAAGAGGCGACTAACGGGATCGGTGGTCAGTTTTCGCTGACTTGGTTGACACATGTCATCTTTTATCGATGCTCATGCTGTTGATCACTGGATTGTCTGGTCAGCGATTATTGACCGCCGCCATATAGCTGGGATATTGTGATGGCGTTAAATCTTTCACTCATTTTGTTCAAATGTAGTGATTATCTTTAGTCAGTAGTAAGCTGTGAACATATTTGCTTTTGCAATATTTGAAAATTCATCAAGATACATTCTTGATTCTGTAAGCAAGGCTCGATTTAGTGCTTTGTTACTTGCACTTGTGCAACCCAATATTACAAAGTGCAACCTAGTTATTTAGTCTAACTTGCACCAGCTGCAGGTCAGTTTTGAGTGGGTAAACTTCTGAATAAAACATCTAAATAATTCAATAGCATATTCTTTCATGTCATATTGTAGTAAAAGCAGTGCAACTGGAATTTGGCTGGTGCAACTAGGTTTTTATTGTAGGTTGCACTTGGTGCAAGTAGGTTAACATCTCTTAAATCGAGCCCTGCTGTAAGCTTCTCTGAAATTGAACTGAGGTACATGAATATGATGACTATGCTTTGTTCAAATTTTTATGAATTTAGTGGGTATTTTAATATGTTGCAAAATGAGAATTTGTTTTGAAAAAGCTATTGAATAATATTTTTGAATTTGTTATTTGATAAATTCCTGTTGACAGGTGAGGTTGATGGAAATGGAGAACAGGGCAAAAGAGGAGAAAGAAAAGGCCTTGAGACTCGAGGCCGAACTTGCTGGAGCCAGGGGTCACTCTGGGTCAAGGACATCAGGTAATGAATATGTCTTGTTTTCGACCAGATCATAGAAACTTTAATTGTACATCTCAGTGTTGAACATAGAAGATTAACATTATTATATGATAGATTCAGTATACCTTATAACCTCTGGCCAAAATAGAGCTCTGTGGAGCAGAAGCTGACCCTATGACCTTTGATATGGGGTATTCTGTGTGGGGAGGATAAAAACTCTGTGCTCTGTGCCTATAGCTAAAGAAAGGTCAGTATGGAGTAGAAGAGGATCCTGTTCCCATTGCTGTGGGTGGTCAGTGTAGGGGAGATTATGATCCTGTGCCCTTTGCTGTGGGTGGTCAGTGTAGGGGAGATTATGATCCTGTGACCTCTGCTGTGGGTGTAGTGTAGGGGAGATTATGATCCTGTGCCCTTTGCTGTCAGTGTGGGTGGTCAGTGTAGGGGAGATTATGATCCTGTGCCCTTTGCTGTGGGTGGTCAGTGTAGGGGAGATTATGATCCTGTGCCCTTTGCTGTGGGTGGTCAGTGTAATCCTGTGCCCTTTGGTGGGTGGTCAGTGTATTATGGAGATTATGATCCTGTGCCCTTTGCTGTGGGTGGTCAGTGTAGGGGATTATAGGAGATTATGATCCTGTGCCCTTTGCTGTGGGTGGTCAGTGTAGGGGAGATTATGATCCTGTGCCCTCTGCTGTGAGTGGTCAGTGTAGGGGAGATTATGATCCTGTGACCTTTGCTGTGGGTGGTCAGTGTAGGGAGATTATGATCCTGTGCCCTTTGCTGTGGGTGGTCAGTGTAGGGGAGATTATGATCCTGTGACCTTTGCTGTGGGTGGTCAGTGTAGGGGAGATTATGATCCTGTGCCCTTTGCTGTGGGTGGTCAGTGTAGGGGAGATTATGATCCTGTGCCCTTTGCTGTGGGTGGTCAGTGTAGGGAGATTATGATCCTGTGACCTTTGCTGTGGGTGGTCAGTGTAGGGAGATTATGATCCTGTGACCTTTGCTGTGGGTGGTCAGTGTAGGGGAGATTATGATCCTGTTCCCATTTGCTGTGGGTGGTCAGTGTAGGGGAGATTATGATCCTGTGCCCTTTGCTGTGGGTGGTCAGTGTAGGGGAGATTATGATCCTGTGCCCTCTGCTGTGGGTGGTCAGTGTAGGGGAGATTACGATCCCGTGACCTTTGCTGTGTTTGGTGAGTATGGGGCACAGAAGGATCATGTGTTCTTTGCTTGGGGAGTGTGGGTAAAAGTGCCCTGTGCCCCTTCTGGTAAGGAGTCAAAATAGGACTGACATTAGAGTCTCCAATTCTGAAGAGATTTTCAAAGTCCAAAGAACAATACACAGAAATATTTTTGTCCATAACAATTTTTATCAATTTCCCAGCAGACTCTGAACTGCGTGATATTGTCGAGAGAGGAACAAACTGAAGAAAGAGAACAAGAAACTGAGGGAAGAGCTGGACGGTATTGACGAGGTATGTCTGGACAGTCATGGTCTTGTCAGGGGAGATAACTGTGAGATAACAAATGTCAATAGTATATAACCTGTGGAGATTTCAAGTCAGAATATGTTGGATCAAGTGGTCATGCTTTGTGACTTTGTTGATTGGGTGTCATTATAGCTGAATGGCATGACTAGTTGGCCACAATGTCGGTAACAGGGTTGTGTGGCCCAGACTTAATTATATACAGGCTGCAGTATGGATTGAGCATTGCTGGGTTAAACATATAAGTATGGAATCTGGTGCAGGGAAGGTCCCCAGTGTCCATGTGGAGCACTTGTGCTAATCATTCTATATGAGGATCATTTGGTCAGAGTGTGTGACGTGGGTCCCGATCCCGATAATTCATAACGTTACGCCTGTCATAACTCTACAGCTTGCTAATGTCGTCGAGCTACGAACGCTTTGTGGGTAGGGACCCTGTCTGACAAACTGTTACTAAGCTCCATTATGTAAATCATTGCTTATCTTATCAGCCACTGATTTGCCTGGTTCAGAAGTGAGGTGAAAATGTTAAATGTCTGTCTGTGTGAGTGTCTGTATGTCTGTCACCCGTGAAGATCCGGGTAAGAATTGATCTTCAGCAACTCATGCTTGTCATAAAGGTGACTCATGTGATCAGGCTCGCTGACTTGGTTGACAGATGTCACCATATCCCAATTGGGTTGTCTGGTCCAGACTCAATTATTTACAAACCTCTGCCATATACCATATACCAGGAAATTTTCAAGGTACTAAAATTTCGAGGTTTGAGACCCCCAGAACTTTCGAGGTGATTTAAATTTCGAGGTTTGGGGACCTAAAATATATAAATATTTTAGACAATTTTAATTTCGAGGTTAGAAGAAAGTGGCCAGAAACATAACCTACCGGACCAATACTCACTGAGCTATCGGCAAAACTCCTAGTAGCCAGTGATAACTGCCATCTGACTGTTATAACTACCGGTATACCAGTCCATGGCAGCAATAATAGTAATGAAAACAAACGTTTGATCCTTTGTTGTGATAAATGACCCATGAAACACTCTGTCGGCAGAGTTCAAACATGACGCCATTTTTTCTCAGACGATATTGTTTTCTTAACAACTAACTATAAGCATGTATGCATGGGTCTCTGCTGAAACTATGTTGTTGTTAGAAAGCTGAGAAGTTGACCTCTTTAGTGAAATTGAAACCATGCGGAAGATCAAATGGTTGGTATTTGTTTACGATAGTTTATACATGAAAGTAACTTGACTCAAACGTGTCATCGCACATATGAAAGTTTGTTTCATTCGATGTCGTTACATTTGACGAGAAAAAATTAGTCTAATAGCATGGTTAAAGAAGTCTGTTGATGAACCCGAAACATTCCTTCCTAGCCCTACCAAGGCCCCATCAATGAAAATGACGGCAACTACTGTGTCTGCAGCCAACAAAGAGGTTCTTACTGCACTGTCCACACCCAAGAAAAGGAAACGCGAATCCACCTACAACTTTTATGACGACGAAACATCAGCAAAGATTGCACATTATGCTCTAGAACATGGTGTTGCCAGTCGCAGTAAAAAGTTTACCAGAAGCTGCAAAAGCCCATTAGAGAATCTACCGCTGGCTCAATTAGAGACAGATACAAAAGACGTTTAGTCAAGGCTCGCAAGACAGGGGCTAGTAATCATGAGTTAAGGAAGATTGAAACAACGCTTCCCAAAGAAAACCGAGGTAGACCATTGCTACTTAAAGACTTTGATGAACAGATACAGACCTACATCAGAGCTCTTCGTGATGCCGGTGTAGTAGTGAACACAACAATCGTCATTGCCAGAGCAACTGGCATTGTCAACTGCGTGAATCCAGGACTTCTTGATACCAACGGCGGATCAATCACCTTGACTAAAGCCTGGGCTTTGTCATTATTGAACAGAATGGGATTTTCCTATCGAAAGGCAACCACAAGTGCACGCACAGTACCAGAAAACTTCTCCGACATTAAAGAAGAATTCCTCGGGCGTATCGGTACCAACATCAAAGAGAAGAAAATCCCTGATGAGCTTATCATTAACTTTGACCAAACAGGACTTAAGTACGTACCGTGTGGGCAATGGACCATGGCAGAGAAAGGGTCAAAGCTTGTAGAGATAGGGGGACTCACTGACAAGCGAATGATCACAGGTGTAGTCGGATCAACAATGAGTGGCGATCTCTTACCTCTGCAGCTGATTTATGATGGAAAGACGGAGCGTTGTCATCCACAAGGTGTGCAGTTCCCGAGTGATTGGCATATCACACACTCAGAAAACCACTGGTCAACAGATGAAACCATGGATGAGTACTGTGACAACATCCTAGTCCCCTATGTCAACAAAGTGAAGAAGGATCTCGGACTACCCAAGCATCAGAAGTCCCTTGTCATCCTTGACATGTTCAAGTGTCATCAAAACAAAACTTTCCTCACAAAACAGAAGAAGAACCACATCGATGTTGTATTTGTACCCCCAACTGCACGGATGCCTTACAGCCCCAGGATGTTTGTGTAAACAAGCCCCTTAAAGACGCGCTCAAGTCTAAGTTCACTGAGTGGTACTCAGAGCAAGTAAAAGACTCTATGAAGGAAACAGACCTTCAAAGTGTAAATGTGGATCTGCGAGTGTCAACCATGAAACCTCTTCATGCCAATTGGATTATGTCTACATTTGCAGAATTGAAAGCCAGAGAAGAAATGATGAAGAACGCATTCATCAAACCTGGCATCGCCGATGCAGTCCGTTTGGCCAGAGAGTGACATCAAGTGTATTAACAGTTGGTTTGGCTTCACATGTAAGACACTGATTGAATTACCTAATTTTTGTAATGCATGTTATTCTGGACCAACAATTACAATTAATTGTCTCGACTCCGCATTTCTGTTGTTTGTTTATTCAGGCCGTTCAGGGTCACTGAACGTTAAGATTAGTTGTAGACAGGCATTACAGAGTTAATGCGCATGTCAGGAAGTCATTGGTTGCCAGCAGTTGAAATGCTTATCGATAGGAAATCTAACCCAAAGGTTTGAAGTTCGGAAAAATTCATGGATATAATATTTTCGAGGTTGCGTTTCTAACCTCGAAAACCTCGAAAATTAGATACCTCGAAAATTTCCCATGATACGGCAGCTGGATTATTGCTGAGTCAGGCGTTAAACAACAAACCAAACCAAACTGTCCATCTGTCTGTCTGTCTGTCTGTCTGTGTGAGTGAGTGTCTGTATGTCTGTGTTTGTTTTGTTTAACATGGGCCCCACTCAGATACATTTTACTGACACTGAGCTTAAAGGGTCTTGTTTTATCACCCCAATGTCAGTATGAGGCAGATCATTGACAAGTACCATCTTCTTGAATTGAACCACCAACCTTCTGCTCTCAGCGCAGCCATTTTATCTACTTAAAGGACCATGGAAGTGGTCAGACTTGGTAGACACATGTCCTCATATCCCAATTGCGTAGAATGATGCTTATGATGTTGATCACTGTATTGTCTGGTCCAGACTTGATTATTTACAAACCATAAAGCTGGAGTCAGGCATTAAACAACAAACCAACCAACCAACCAACCAACCAACCAGAAGAGAATGTACACTCACTCACCTTCTTCAACATCATTTTGACAAACATTCAGGGAAAATAGTTTTGTAAAGCATTTCTATCAAGGATGTCTATGTGAAACGAGTTCTGTGTGAAACCATTTGTAGGATACTCATTGTCTTGAAACTTTGATCCAATGGTATTGACCAAATATTTCAGTCAAACTTGACCTGGCTTTTGACGTGGGTACAATGTGTGAAGCCCATTTCTGGTGTCGCCCGCCGTGATATTGCTGGAATATTGCTAACAGCAGCGAAACCATACTCACTCACTTAGGGTGACCAAAATTTCTAACCTTCATATGGTGTCTTGTTACTGATGTGACCTGGCTTTTTTAAGGAGTTTGTAAAACATTTCATGATTTGACCCCAAAATGTGTGAAGATTTCTGGTGTCTTTTTACAGAGTTTCTTTGATGAGATCGATGTGTGACATAAAGTTTGGATATTCAGCAGTCAGCCCAGCTCAACAAGGAGTTTGTAAAACATGAGATTTCAAAAGGCTCTTCATAAATTGTGTCAGCTCAACAAAGTTGAGAAGGCTCTTCATAAATTGTGTCAGAAGTTTGGCGTTCCCTACCCTCATCCCGAGAAAGCCATACTCATGTCGAAAAAGAAATGATCCTTCAGGATTTTTACCTCACCTGAATGTGGATGCTCAGTTGTCTGTCCGTCCAAACTGTTCGTATTTTGTGATGCAATCTCTTATGAAACCACACGCCTGTTGAGCTGAAACTTTTATGATCCCAGCTGTGGTGTGAAAAGCTGCTCACATAATTGTCCTCCATATGCAGACATGATTGCCATTGTTTAGTCATATTTCAGGTGAGCTTCAGAACCTTGAGCCTCATTTTTTATGAATTTACAGTCAATGTACATTTGTTATATCGTTTCACCAATAAACTTTATATTGTCCAAAAAAGAACAATTTGTTTGTTAGTTTGTGATATATTTTTCTTCAAGAATTTTACATTGTGATGCTTTGACAGAAATAGTCATTGTAATGTACAGTGCAATCTTGTTGACATGTTGACAGTGAAACAAATGCACATGCAGTGCGGTATGTGATGAGCGTTAACTTAGACCAACCCTACTTGTTCTCATTGTTTCATTTAATGTGCATACCCCCTTGTAATACAAACCAATAATAGCGATTTGAAACTATGATCGTTTGATAAACAGGTTTTATCCTAAGTTGAATAAAATTCTGAGATTTAAATGTCCAATTGGCAAGGTAAAATTATGAGGATTCGCAATCAAAATTTCACTTAATTCGATATACTTTTTTGTTTGAAGTGAAATTCATCGGTACGTTTTCACTGCAAACAGACTATATATTCAACTCAGACTTCGCTCAGGATCAAATTAGTCGTCCTTGATGGAGGAACCTTCGCAGACCAATTAAGAACTGAGCATTTGGTTTATTGTGAGGATGTTGGTGACACAGATGATTCCTCACTCACTACCTCGCTCCCTCACGAGGTTAAGCGGTAGCCTTGTGGTTAAGCGTTCGCTCATCACGCCGAACCCGGGTTCAATTCCCCCACATGGGTAGTTTGTGAAGCCCATTTCTGCTGTCCCCTGCCGTGATATTGCTGGAATAAACTCACTCACCCACTCACTCACTCTGGAGAAGACATAAACATGGTAACAATAGAAATGATACTTTATTCAGTTTGTAAAAACTGTACATCATACACACGTGTTTTCTATCCATGTAGCCATTTGAATCTCAGTAACACTGACAGTGGTATGCACTGTGCGTAGAGCTAGGTGGTCAGTGTTGTAAAGGCCTGTGATTATACATGGCTATGAATAACAACAGTCGAAGGAGGATATGACACAAATCTTTCACAAATTCAGATATTATTTAAGCCATTCTTAAAACTTACTGAGTTAATAGTTAGTGGCTTGTAATATATTGCTCTCCAGAAATATGTAAGAAGTTAAAAAATCCATCTTTTAAGTTGCTATCAATAAAAATGAATTATTTGAAATGCTATTATTATAACCTTTTGAAAAAAATATCTTAAACATTTGAGAACAATGAACAATGACAGATCAGTGTAAGAGGAAAGAAGAATTGACTTCCCAGTATACATGTCCTACCTTGTAAACTTTTGAGAAAATGAAGAAAAATACTTAAAATTGAAATTTAAGTTTTCTTATTTAATTTTTCTATATATGACCAGTGCATTTAATAGCAAATTTATTACTATGTAAATTGTATGCCAAGGAATGAAATGTTACAAAAAATTGTGTTCATGTAAATGTAATGGTCAAACTGATATCAATCCAGGAAAGGACAAAAATTGAAATGATTAACAGACATACTAGGATGAATTTGAAAGAAACTTTTTGATGGAAATGTGTATACATGGATTCTGAACCTTTTGACACAATGATGGAATATGTTACCTTGAAATACGAACTGCTTGACACAATGCTGGAAAGGTTTAACCTGGGGTTCAGTTTTGCAGAAACAATCACAGAGTACTGAATTCATTTAGTACAATCTGGACATTATTATTGCTGCTCTATGCCCTAATCGACATTAAGTCACACACTTTCCGCTCTGGAGGTGGTGGGGTAGCCCAGTGGTTAAAATGTTCGCTCATCACACTGAAGACCTGGGTTTGATTCCCCGCATGGGTACAATGTGTGAAGCCATTTCTGGTGTCCCCCCACTGTGATATTGCTGGAATATTGCTAAAAGCGGCATAAAACTAATCTCACTCACTTTCCACTCTGCATGATGAGTCACAGCGATGCAGATGTGTCATGATCTGATGGCCATGGGTTTGAATCCACTGAACATCCTTGATCTATCAGCAGCAAACCCTTTCTTCAATCTACATCAGTTTGTATTTCCTCCAGCACAAGGTGATGTACCATGCCAATATAAGTATGTTCAGAGAGGGAGCAAAGGGGTAGAAAAGGGGTTAAAGTGTTCGCTCGTTGCACCAGACCTGGATTTGATTCCCCACATGGGTATAATGTGTGAAGCCCATTTCTGGAGTCCTCCGCCGTGATATTGCTGGAATATTGCTAAAAAGCGGCAAAACATAAACTCCCTCATTCACATTCAGAGAGGCATTGGGGCGGTGGGGTAGCCTAGTGGTTAAAGCCTTCGCTCGTCAAGCTGAAGACCCGGGTTCGATTCCCCACATGGGCATAATGTGTGAAGCCCAATTGTGGTGTCCCCCGCCGTGATATTGCTGGAATATTGTTAAAAGCGGCGTAAAACCATACTCACTCACTCACTCAGAGAGGCATTAACCCAACTGACTCCCACTTTAATGGACACTGTCATGCAGTCAACGTTCTTCACGCAGCTATTACAGTGAGTATCCCTCAGTTCCAGAAACTGAGAGTTCAGTGGTTAACAGTGGCTGCAAACACTATGTAGAAGATCAGGGATTCATGTTTGGAACATGTAAAGGCTTCAGTCTGGCACAAACATGAAGGATGTTTGAACTGCATTGTGATGCATCACCTCCAGTGCTCGGTCAGTGCAAGACCATCATTCTTTTACCATTTTCTGTATAACAGTCACAGAACGTATCTCTAACAATGTCTCTATCCTGAAAATGTTTTGACCATTTTCAAGCAATGGCTTTTGACCATCATATGTGAGTCAAAATGTGATATATGGATCTTGAAATCATCCAAGAGTACAATCTGCAGGTGACATATTTTGCTGAGACATATTCTGCTGATGAAGTGTATCCCTTGAGTTCGTTGCACCAAGTTACCTGTATAAATAACTGAAGTTAGACATGAACTGCTACTCAAAGGACAACATGTACCGATGGAGGACATCATCGCAAGGTCCCTATCAATCAGTATTTCCTTTGATTAACAAATATATCAATGACGTTCACTGTGCCATGTTTGCCAACAAAAACATATTGAGTAATTTTATGTTTTCAGTAAAAGGAACTTCTTTGTAACATTTCAATTGATGACTGTAGACTTGTAGTCCTTTCAATCCATCAGGTACATCTCACACACCATGAAACACAGTTACTCTGTTGTCCTTCTATTTCATAGGGGACAGATCACAGACCATGATACACAGGCACTCTGTTGTCCTTCCTCTTTCATCACACACCGTGACACAAATCACACACCATAATATGCTCAATCTTTGCTGTCTTTTCAATCCATCAGGTACTTATCACACATGCAATGATATGCTTGTCCTCTGTTGTCCTCCCATTTCATCTTGTACAGTTCACTGTTGTTGCAATATATTATATTACAATCAATCATTCATCATCCTTCATTATCAATACATCACACATTGGTCAGACTATGTAAATTAACTGTCAGATTTTCACAAAGAAAACCTTGTATCACTTCAGAGATGTGCGTATACTTTCATGGTCAAAGACAGCAAAAGTAGTCTTTGTTTCCTTGCTAGTTCTGAACACCTTCAGCAGATACACCTTGCAACTCAAATCTGTTTGTCTATGAACAGCATAGGAATCATTCAGAATTATCTTCCAAAGCCAGTGGCATCAATCTATAATAGCCTCCAGGGCTTGATGGGCTGGTATGGCCATTTATCCACTGACTTGACGGTGGACCTTCATCTTCACTGAAGTGGTCTGTTATCAGTTTAAATCTGGAACTTCAGAAGCGCCATCATCAGGCCTGCCTGTAATGTAAGGAGTGGTCTATTGTCCTTTCAGATCTGGAACTTCAGAAGCACAATCATCAGGCCTGCCTGTAACGTAAGGAGTGGTCTATTATCCTTTCAGATCTGGAACTTCAGAAGAATCATCGTAAGGCCCACCAGTAGTGTAAGGAGTGGCCAGTTGTCCTTTCAGATCAGGATCTCCAAAAGAATCACCACCAGGCCTGCCTGTTTTGTAAGGAATGGTCTATTGTCCTTTCAGGTCAGGATCACCACAAGCATCTCCATCAGGCCTGCCTGTAATGTAAGGAGTGGCCAGTTGTATTTTCAGATCTGGAACTTCAAAAGCACCATCATAAGGCCTGCCTGTATTGTGAGGAAAGGTCTATTGTCCTTTCAGATCAGGATCTCCAAAAGAATCACCACCAGGCCTGCCTGTATTGTAAGGAGTGGTCTATTGTCCTTCAGATCAGGATCACCACAAGCATCTCCATCAGGCCTGCCTGTAATGTAAGGAGTGGCCAGTTGTCCTTTCAGATCAGGATCTCCAAAAGAATCACCACCAGGCCTGCCTGTATTGTAAGGAGTGGTCTATTGTCCTTTCAGATCTGGAACTTCAGAAGCACTTCCATCATCACGCCTACCAGTATTGTAAGGAGTGGCCTATTGTCCTTTCAGATCTGGATCAGGAATCATTCAGTGTAAAGCATTGTCCTTTCCATCAGGCCTGCCTGTGATGTAAGGAGTGGCCAGTTGTATTTTCAGATCTGGAACTTCAGAAGCACCATCATCAGGCCTGCCTGTATTGTGAGGAAAGGTCAGTTGTTCTTTCAGATCTGGAACTTCAGAAGCACTTCATCATCAAGGCCTACCAGTAGTGGAAGGAGTAGTCTATTGTCCTTTCAGATCTGGAACTTCAGAAGCACTTCCATCATCACGCCTACCAGTAGTGTAAGGAGTAGTCTATTGTCCTTTCAGATCTGGAACTTCAGAAGCATCATCGTCAGGCCCACCAGTAGTGTAAGGAGTGGCCAGTTGTCCTTTCAGATCAGGATCTCCACAAACATCATCATCAGTTCTGTGGGATGGATAAGGTGTTGTCGGTTGTGTAGGAATGGAAGCGATGATGAGAATATTGATAACAGTAGCAACAGTCATGCTTTATTGCTATAAGTGTGTCACTACATTATGTGGAAGTATAAAATAGGTTATCATGGGCTCCTTGCCCTTCAGACTTGTTAATCCACGATATTCATGTTCATATCCTTTCTTGATTAAAACTTGGGCTGTCTTTTCTGCCATCTGAAATGAATCAAAGGACACTCATGAGGATGTTTTACAATCATGAGAAAATTTAACCAAACTTTAAAACATCATTATTGACATTTTAGTGGCACAACTTTTGAAATTATTTATTGAATGTTTTTGATTGAATGTTGTTTTAATCAATGTCTCCAACAGGACTGACAGAATTTAAGTTTTAAAATTAAATCATTCTTTATGTTAAGAACTTCTGGACAGATGTTTTGTGAGGGTTCATAAACTTTTGTCCCCAAAATTCAGGCTGATATGTTAAAAATATATAAGAAAAACGTCCCTACTTCAAACATACTTTTTGTATTTCCTCAAAATGTTAGATAAGTAGGGAAAAAAATATTGTGCAAAATTAAGTAGTGATGGGAATTGAAACAAATACTTGTAGATCATTTAGAAAATGCTAATGGATAAATAAAGTGACGAATTTTACTCTTTAAAGTTACAAAAAAGTGAGGCATAAAAATGGTCAATCTACACTTGACACAATACAGTAAATTGTCTGGGATAGGTACAAGCAGAAGTCAATCGTACATCATGGTCTTGTGAGACTTCCAGCACCTCTGATGAATGTTACATACTTACACGGGGCAGTGGGGTAGCCTAGTGGTTAAAGTGTTCGCTCGTCACGCTGAAGACCTTGGTTCGATTCCCCACATGGATACAATGTGTGAAGCCCATTTCTGGTGTCCCTTGCCTTGATATTGCTAAAAGCAGCGTAAAACTAAACTCACTTACTCATATACTTACATGTATTTTACCCTGTTCACTGCTACTGTCCATACGACTAGCTACATTGACAGTGTCGCCCCAGATATCATACTGAGGCTTACGAGCACCGATGACTCCCGCTATGACTGGACCATCATTTAAACCTGTGGGATAAACAAACAAATACTTGATCTATTTAGGTTGCCATGAAAAATACTTCTCTGTTCATAATGGTTTAGTTTTGATATATATTCTTATGTGGCTGTAGAGATTGTTGTGCGGTTATTTGTAATGATTGTCTTTCACATCAGGCCCTTGAAGATCTGATTTAGAATTGGTCTTCAGCAACCCATGCTTGTTAAAAGAGACAATTAACGGGATCGGGGGGTCAGGCCCTCTGACTTGGTTGACACATGTCATTGTATCCCAATCGCGTAGATCGATGCTCATGCGGTAGATCACTGGATTGTCTGGTCCAGACTCGATTATTTACAGACTGCTGCCATATAGCTGGAATATTGCTGAGTGTGGTGTTAAAGAACCAACCAACCAACTTGTACACCAAATCACTGAATTAGTCGTAAAATGTTCATGGCAGTTGACCGTAAAATTAGTAGTGAAGTTTTAATTTCACATACCCGGTTTCGTATAATCAAACGGAAGGAACGTTCACGTGGTTAAATCATTCCAATAGGATCATCATTTTCCGCCGGTAGACAATAAGTGCGTCAAATCGCAAAGGTATTAAAATCAGCTTCAGATTTCTGACAGACAATTTTGCTACTTGCAATGATTCCAGTTCAAATATGTCATTAAATTTGATGAATGGAAGGTAAGTGAAGTCCAAAAATGTCTTTAATCGACAAAAATATATCTGAATTTTAATGAATTTTCTTCAAATTTCGCAGAATTTCTAGTGCAATCGTATTGGCGTAGTGTCAGGCAAAAATTGATAGCGACTACGATTAAATCGTAGAGGTTGGCATCTCTGCAGTCGTCGTCAAATTTTAACAGGAAGTTGTTGGCACTATCTGTTCCTAGTTGATATGATCCAACATGGATTACTTGGAAAATGGCTCACAGTTGTTGATTTCTGAAAAGAATGTGATGGGACACTCACCTATCCTGAGTTTGAACTGGTTAAAAGAATGTTGATTGAAATTGTCTAGCTTTTCTATCATTGAAAGCGCAAAGTCAGTCATCTTAACAATGTTTGCTTCATTCTCCACTGAATCCTGAAACACAAAAAATAATGTACTAAACATCGTGAAACACATAGAAATACTGTGTAAACACCACAAAACACATAAAAACAATGTAGTAAATATTGAGGAACATAAATATAATGTAGTAAACATTGTGAAAGACGTAAATAAGGCAGTAAACATTCTGAAACAAATAACAATAATGTAGAAAAAATAATAATTTGCTAATTTTCGACTTTGATGGTGGTCAGGATCAGGTCCTTCGTTGATTATGTGTCTCTATGTCCTGATGCCATGGAACACTGTTCATAACGTTAACCCTTTGGTCTGACCCTACACGTCAAGCTACCACATCATTACATAACCCTAATAATGTTAAGCAGCTATCATGGAATAATAATTCATACGAAAATTTGTTATTAATTATAACCACTACCAGCAATATATTAGGATTCAGATATTAGGAAAATATAAATATAGAATATTAGTTTCATCATGCATCAGTAATGATGTTATTTTTGTTCTTGTTAATAAAATTGTAATTAGCTTCTTGTGACTTCGGACTCTTTGCTGAGCTAATTCCCCCAAGCAGAACAGCACGCCAGTTAGATAAGGGGTTTCACCAGAACCTTCACTTGGACCCAAGACCCTTATCATAATACAGCACTAAACCGATTCCCTTGACAGGATGGTGCCTCACCTCCTTATCTTCCATGCCTGGCTGAAGTCCCGTTGCTGCCATATATGTACTGCCAATTGTCTTGATCTTCTCCACACAGTGAAATCTTGACTGGGTCAAAAGCTGAAAGAAGTTTCAAAATTAAATTAAGAATAATATTTCTGGCAATATACAGGTCTTTTCATAATTTGTTTCTATCCAGCTATTAATAAATAGGGTGTAAAATAAAAATATGTTGTACCTTAAAACAGTTATTTATCATTTTGTTAAATTAAAACTTGTGTTTTTTTAAAGATACATTATACAGTTAATTACATATACCTTACCATCTTATATTATTTTATTACACAATTTAATTAAGGTACTTGGTTAATGAAAGCATTTAGAGACCTGAGAGTTCAAAACAATTCTGCAATTACTTTTTCATCACTTTTATTGAATTTTCATGTTAAGTCAATGTAAATATATAGAACGTCATACTAGTGCATTTGGATGTTTTGTATTGAACTCAAAGATGTCATGGGAACAGAGAAACAACGAGTTCGAAGAATGAGTTGTTATTCTGCTCCAATGACATCTTCGAGTTCGATACAAAGCATCCAAATGCACTAGTATCAGTGTATAAAATAAGCCCAAAACCCAGCCAGACATCAGGGCTGGTAACTTCAAAATGTTACCAGCCCGAAATGGATTTAACCAGACCAGACACCAAGATATTGTGAATTTACTCAGATGTATGGAACATTTAAAAAATTTTACCAGACCATCGGACTGGCTAGCTGTAAATTTAGACTGTCCGTCAGAAATCTAGCCCGTCTCTGGTGGTCGGACGGGCCTTATTTCATACACTGCCAGTATGACGTTCTATATTTATTATATACCCTCTTATCTTGCATTAATCTGTTACTTTATAAAACAAATCACATCATAGTGATACATATTTTCACGCCTCTCGATACTTCCGCATTCAGGTTAGTTTGACATTAAGTATCACTCCGCAAGTGGGCAGATCATGCAACTGACCTAGATCATACATTCTTCCGCATAACGTCATGAATCAAGTCCCACTTTCACAACTTACCACAGGCAAACTAATGACGCCATTCTAATGAAATTCATTCATATTTTAATACATACAAACTGGTATGATGGAACGAAAAAGCTATTCGACTTTCAAATCCGAGCCGAGCTCGGAGAAAGTAGGACCGGCAGGGGTTCCATACAGAATCTGGGGTGCAATACGGAATGTGACCACGTCATCCGTATTGCACCCCCTGTATCACTATCTTAAGTCTACATGGGTATATAATAAATATAGAAATTGCGTGATTTCATAGTAAAGCCTCACAGTGTCAAAATCTGAGATGATTTCGTTGAGGACTCGTATACACTCAAGACCATGTCTGTTGGCAGCGTTTTGTTGGTAGAAGTCCTTGAAGTTCGGTATAGAGGCGAACATGACGCTGACATTGGGGTAGTACTTGTGATACAGGTCCTGGAAGTAGAGAAGCATTAACTGATAAATATCACAGACTAGGACCCTCTTGTAGAATGAGATTTTAGCACTGCATTGGTCAGAACTCTAAGATTCAATCATAGACTTAAGTTTGACATACTACAAAGATTGTTTGTTGCCAGTTAAGTGAGTGAGTTTGGTTTTACGCTGCTTTTAGCAATATTCCAGCAATATCACGGCGGAGGACACCAGAAATAGGCTTCACACATTGTACCCATGTGGGGAATTGAACCTGGGTCTTCAGCGTGATGCGCGAACGCTTTAACCACTGGGCTATCCCACCGCCCGTATTGCCAGTGGACTCTGTTGCAGCTCCTTTCACAATGACCTTTGATTAGAATTAATCCTTAGCAATCCATGCTTGTTCTTAGAAGCATCTAATGGGATTGGGTGGTCAGGCTCGCTGACCTGGTTGACACATGTCATCCTATCCCAATTGCATAGATCGATGCTCATGCTGTTGATCACTGGATTGACTGGTCCAGACTCGATTATTTACAGACTGATGCCATATAGATGGAATATTTCTGAGTGCAGCATTAAAAAACAAACAAACTTTCACAAGGTGATTGTAGCAGTACCGGTATGTTGATCGTAACTCTTATACTTTAACTTTGCTTTGTTGCATTTATAAAACAGGACGCTGATCCACAAGATCTGTAATTTCATTAACTCAACATAGCCTGCAGGAATACCATAGCAAAAACAAATCAAGGTCAAGGTATTTGAGTCCTAAACACTTAACTACGAGTTACTTCATAAAGCAATATTTAAATTCCTTACCTCATTTTTTCGAGATGCCCTCAGAAAATAATCTGCCACATGAGCAGGTAGAATATTCTCCAGGATGATTTTGTTGATGGCAGCTGTGACCTTGACCTCATCAGGATCCTTTCTTGTCTTCCAGAGAAAGTCTACTCGCTGTGTATACTCTGTCTGTAAGAATTAAAAAAATGAGTGAAGGTGTTTGGCGCCATGTTACATGATATTCCTGCAATATCACAGCAGGGTTCATCAAGAATGGTTATTGCACAAATTACCAATTATATTATACATAATCATTGTACAAATTACTCATATTGTACATAATAATTGCACATATTACTTATTCTACTACCGCCTCCGTGGTGTAGTGGTTAGAGCGTCCCCCCGGAGAGCGGAAGGTCGCTGGTTCGATCCCCGACCGCGTCATACCAAAAGACGTTAAAATATGGTACTTGTTGGTCCCTGCCTGGCGCTCGGCATTAATGGGTACAACAAGGACTGGTCGGCTCGGAGTCAGTATAATGTGTCTGAGTGGGGTATTCATGCTTCACTGCGGCATGGTATCTCAGTGGGCTAGCACTATAAAACCAGCTTAAGTCTGGGCTAGTACAAGCAGCCGCACATACACATACACACGCATGCACGTCGTCATATGAGCGAAATATTCTCAAGCACGACATAAAACCCAATTTCACCTCACCTCACCTCACTTATTCTACTACACATAATTGTTGCACAAATTATTAATTGTTACACGTACAAGTATCAAACTCAGGAGTTTTGTCATAACAAGAAACACCTCAACCATAGTGCTACCTCTGAACGACAATCACATGAACTAAAGGCAAATATTCAACACTGATATACACAGGAAGAAAACATCCTCATCTTGATTGTCTACACTACTCAAAGCATGTCAAAGAACACCCCAATCTGAAAGTTATGTGTTGTAAAACCCATTAGTCAGGACCAGTTAACTAAGGTTATAGGACAAAGTTTAGTGATCTTTAACTGTATTGAGTACTATATTTGTTTCAAAATTCTTATGCTTTAAACCCATAAAACATCTTAAATAAATCAGTCATTTACTCACCTTAATTTTTTGAATATTGGCAACATTAGCAGGTTTCAAGTTATCTTTGAACTTTTATGATTTAATGATAAATGTGTTGTATCACTCCAAAGACATGTAAGGAAATATATAAGTTCTCAGATTTAGTTTCACATGTTCAATTCATTCTAAGAAACAAATGTCAAGGTGGTATAGTCATCACATACCTGTCGATCCAACACATGTAGAGCTATGAACATTAAAGCCAGGTGGACTGTTGCCATAAGTCGTATATCAGCCTGCAATTCATTGGGTCTGAAATTAATGATGATAAAAAACTGAAATAACCATTCTTGAGAATGAAGACATGAACATTTCTAGATAAATGATGATCATGATGATGATAATGAGTGCTTAGATTTTACTTCGGACATTTACTGGGCGTTCATATGACATTACATTCATGAAAGGAAGAATGAGTGTGTGATGATGGTTTAACACCGCTTATATATTATATTGCAGCAACATCACAGCGGGGGGCACCAGAAATGGGCTTCACTCATTGTACCCATGTGGGGAATCAAACCCCGGTCTTCAGAGTGACGAGCCAACGCTTTAACCATTAGGCTACCCCACTGCCCGAAAGGAAGAGTCCCAGTAATGTTAGAAGGAACCTGGTGCCAGGCGTCCAACTTGACTTACTGTGTATCTTTGTTGACCAAGTTGTTGAACTTGATGAAGATGTCCTGTCTTCCGAGATGAAGAATGAGGAAGTACACTACTAGTGCCACCGACATCTCAGCCAGCTTGATGATGAAGCTGAGGTGGACGAAGACGCTGCATGATGTCAACCCCAGCATAAAACTCAGGATGTAGTACTGGAACACAACAAAGATGCTATAATTAAAATGGATGCTCTCTTACATTTCTGCATTTAAAACAGCCATTTTGGAATAATGTTGCAGGTTCTTCTGTAAAGCTCAAGAAAGCTGCTTTCTGATTGGCTAATGACAACTTCTTGTTTGTCATTTCCTTTTTGGTCAAAGTTTGCAGGATGTTCTTCTGATGTGACCAGTAATCAGAAGTCCTCAGATGTTTCTTTAATGGTAGCGAGAACACAGATCTGATTCTTCTGTGAGCAGGAAATAAGCATAAGGCCAGACCAATTTTATTTCTTGTTTTACGGATCTGCCGGTCGTATTTTTTCAAGAATAAGAAAAACATTTAATTAATTTTCCCTGCTCAAAATATAAAATTTTAATATTTTTATTGGCCAAAAATGTAAATGTGCAAGAAAATGTTTTTAGATTTTTTTGCCCCATATACACTTCATAAATTGCCCAAAGTAAAATACTTTTAGTATTTAAAAGGAATATTACTCTGACTATTGAATTTTATTTTCATTTTCTTTTCCCTCCTGCCTTTAAGTTTTCTGACGAGAAAAATCCGTAAAACAAACAAATTAAATTGGTCTGGCCTAATCAAATAATGTTTAAAAATTCATTGTTAACCTATTTCCATTCACTTACATAAGAACAATTCCTTAAAAGATAGAAAAGAAATCCTTACAAGTGGATAATCACAGCTGCTTTCTCCTGGCTCAGTGGATGAAGTGTTTTCCAACTCCGGCATGTGAAGTTCTGTATTGCAGGAGATCTGAAGAATATAGAGATTATACTTTAAAGTTGAAGTGAGAAATTAGGAACCATAAAAATACAAATTGTATTAAATTGGTAATGCATCATTTATTCTGTTCTCCTCTGAAAAAAATGTGAAAACAATGAACTAGATAGCTTTGCATGATTCAACTGCAAAACAAAACTTTAAAATGGACAGATGAATACTGTTGCTATAACATGATTGTAGTTGTTGAGAAGATTGATGCTGGACAGAAATTGCTTTAGGTTCTCTATTGTTGAAGCTAATTATGGAGCAACAACTGCCATGTGTTATAGTATAAGTGTTACAATAAGGCCACTTACATAGCGCTGAACTTCACACCGCACGGGCATGCCAAGACTAAGAGCCTACAACATCATGGACATTATTGCCCTGGATAACCCAAGTGGCCTGTGAGGTGCTGGAAGGTTAATAGTTATGACTTATCCCACCGGGTACCCATTTTCTGCTGGGTGAACAGAGACAATTTTGAACAAACTCACTTGCCAAGACTAAGAGCCTACAACATGATGGACATTATTGCCCCAGATAACCCAAGCTGCCTGTGAGGTGCTGGAAGGTTAATAGTTATGACTTATCCCACCGGGTACCCATTTTCTGCTGGGTGAACAGAGACAATTTTGAACAAACTCACTTGCCAAGACTAAGAGCCTACAACATGATGGACATTATTGCCCCGGATAACCCAAGCTGCCTGTGAGGTGCTGGAAGGTTAATAGTTATGACTTATCCCACCGGGTACCCATTTTCTGCTGGGTGAACAGAGACAATTTTGAACAAACTCACTTGCCAAGACTAAGAGCATACAACATGATGGACATTATTTTCCCGGATTACCCAAGCTGCCTGTGAGGTGCTGGAAGGTTAATAGTTTTGACTTATCCCACTGGGTACCCATTTTCTGCTGGGTGAACAGTGACAATTTTGAACAAACTCACTAGCCAAGACTAAGAGCATACAACATGATGGACATTTTGCCCCGGATAACCCAAGCTGCCTGTGAGGTGCTGGAAGGTTAATTGTAATGACTTATCCCACGGGTACCCATTTTCTGCTGGGTGAACAGAGACAATTTTGAACAAACTCACTTGCGTAAGGTGAGACTAATGTGCTACCTCATGGGCAGGGCAGAAGTGCCAGAAACTCTCAGGAATCTTGCTGCCAAACAAGGTCACCCATACAAAGACTCGCCATGCAAAACTTCAACTGATTTGTGATCTCTATGCACAAGAGGCCGGTGGGATAGCCTACTGGTTAAAGCACTTGCTCATCACGCCGAAGACCTGGGTTTGATTCCCCACATGGGTACAATGTGTGAAGTCTATTTCTGGTGTCCCCTGCCGTGATATTGCTGGAATATTGCAAAAACCGGCGTCAAACCATACTCACTCACTCACTCTGTGCACAAGACAACACACCATGGTAGTACTCACCAGACTGATGCTGGAGGCAAACAGGATGAGACTGGTACAGCAGACAGAAATGACCAAACGGAGACAGGTGCTGTAGGTGATGCATCGGCTGAACTTGACCAACACACTGACCAGCTTGTTGCCTGAAGACTGTACAAACAGAAACAACAATTGTTGGATTGTCATTCCGGAAGTTGGTGCATCAATCTTTTCCCCATCCTTACAGAAATCAACATTACCCATCTTGAAGAAGAAGACCTCTCAACATCCCCAATCCAACCTGTCTGCGGGTATAGGAAGGTGGAGGACACGTTTGTCATCCTTACAAAAGACCAGGATCCCTCCTCAACACTCTAGACCGCCTCCGTGGTGTAGTGGTTAGAGGGTCTGCCCGGAGAGCGGAAGGTCGCGGGTTCGATCCCCGACTGCGTCATACCAAAAGACGTTATAATATGGTACTTGCTGGTCCCTGCCTGGCGTTCGGCATTGATGGGTACAATAAGGACTGGTCGGCTCGGAGTCAGTATAATGTGTCTGAGTGGGGTATTCATGCGTCACTGCGGTATGGTATCTCAGTGGGCTAGCACTATAAAACCAGCTTCAGTCTGGGCTAGTACAAGCAGCCGCACATACACATACACATGCATGCACGTCGTCATATGAGCGAAATATTCTCAAGCACGACGTAAAACCCAATTTCACCTCACCTCACCTCAATACTCTAGGAGCAAACACCCAACATCAGTGTATCAAGTTTCCCATGGAGACAGAGAGAAGCAAGAAATTCCCCTTCCTAGATGCCCTTGTCTCTTTAGAGACAAAGATCCAAGCCATAGTATACAGAAAAACCACCCATTCTGACCAGTTAAATTATTTCAACTCTAACCATCCCGCTAAAATGAAGTCAAAGCAAGCAAAGAACATCAGCTCCAGGAGTCATAACCAGGAACATGATAATCTTCTACAGCATGTCTTCACCAACCTCAACCAGTATCCCACTAAGTTAAGAGGGCCATTTCGACCACTCTCCAGTCCAAATTTAAACTGACCAGACCTGAATCTACCCCCATCAGAATCACTCCACACTACATGGGCAAGGTCCTCCAATCAGCAGGCTACTTAATCACCAAGGTATCGACACCATTTTTATTGCTCCAATAACAAAATGGAGATATGATAAACTTGATAAATGGGATTGGGTGAGCACTCACAATGCAGACTTCGGCAAACTGTATCACAGATATGAGCCCAAAGGTCACGATCCCTACAATTCCAACCACCAGGAGGGGGGATATCTCTGAAAGAAAGAGAGAAGACTTGTATAAATTGGATGTATTTGACATAGGGATAAATACAGGAGTGCATATCCAATTTGCAATAACAGTCATGGACGACTTGATGACACTTAATGTGAACTATCCATGATGTTTTCACAATGTAAACAAGAACCAGGGGTGATTCCAAGGGAGCTGCCATCTTGTTTTCAAAAACCTGTACAGGTATTTGCTTTGAATGTGGAATCTTTATTCACGTAAACTATTTGCTACAAAAATATTATGGACTTTAAGTGATTAAGGATAGGTTTGGCATGTAGATTTTAAAAATATTTTATGATTAGTAGCCAATCAAAGATGTCTAAGTGTCCTGAATATCCAACAGTATGCATTGACAGACATTTTCATAGCTCCCAGTCATGACATATGTAACAACTGATGTTAGATCCGGATGAGGGATGTTGTAACGGCAGCTGGACATACCTGGGCAGCATGATGGCTTGGATGATGACGACACAGAGGAAGATGACTGCACAGCACGCCACCTGGTACTTGAACATCAGGTCAGCCTGGTGCATATAGCTGTATTCCTGTTGTCTCTGCTTGAAGGTCAGGAACACCCTGTTGACATCTGTGTTGTTGGGGAGACACCTGATGGTCGTACAGGAACATTAACACTCACTAACTCAGATCTGAATGGGTTGAATGCTAGTAGATGCCTGAACCCAATGCAGGTCAATGACATGATTGAAATAGGCTGATCTCTTGTAGGTTGTGATGAAAGACATTAAACATGGCTTCCTTGGTCAGTTTCGGTTTGCCTGTTGTCTAATGCCTAGCAATGTTTCAGCTATATGGCAGCAGTCTGTAAATAACTGATTCTGGTCCAGACAATCCAGTGATCACCAGCATGAGCATCGATCTACGCAATTGGGAACTGATGACATGTGTCAACCAAGTCAGTGAGCCTGACCACCCGATCCCGTTAGTCGCCTCTTACGACAAGCATGGGTTACTGAAGGCTCATTCTAACCCAGATCACCAGCATGAGCATCGATCTAGGCAATTGTCAATAAAGTGAGCCTGACCACCCGATCCCATTAGTCACCTCTTTTGACAAGCCTGGGTTGCTGAAGACCATTTCTAACACGGATCTTCACAGGTTCATTGGTCAGTAGTATCAATTGAGAACAAATACAAGACTACACAGCCAAAATCAAAATCAATATTAAATGTTTAGACATGTTTGTCTATGTTTATTTCACCAAATTAAGGATGATAAGACACAGAGTTACTTTCTTTATATTCCCCATCCAGAAACGGTACAGATTTGGATTGAAACATTATTATTTACCACTACTACAATTTGGGCTGAATGCGCTTTCTCTCTGTTACAAAATATACACAATCATACAGTACATGTCTTTCATTCAGCATTACATTACAGTGTTTACAAATGTAGGAGTTATTAGTAAAGACATTTTTCTTACTCAGATATCCACTTCTAAATAAAGTTAATACACGTCTATGCTCATGGGAACTAATGTTTAACAAATATTTTTCACAATTAAGCAAAGACTTATGAGAATTATAAAATGCTTAGAGAATCACTCTGAAGAGAATAGTGCCAGTTCTGATAAGCACATTCTTTAACACGTTGACTAAAGATATAAATGAAATGATCTGGATCCCCAACCTCTTGGCTTATCCAAACAAAACCATAGCCATAACGAAAAAGTAAATAATTTACTTGATTGGACCAACTCGGCCTTTTTCTCTCAAGAATGGACAACAGCATATTATAACATTGGAAAGCATATCTTTGACGTTGCATTCTTTAACAATCGTAGCCAATACTTAATACATTTAATATGATAGGAAACATAAAGTGGATATCTTCCACACTCCCCGTATGATACAGCATTCAACGATTTATAACTAATATGGAGAACAAATTTACAAAACTTCCTATGAATAATTTCAATATTACTCCTTTCTTCCCAACCCCAAATTTCAGCCCGGTATATAAGAATTGGAGTAATCTTTTTATCAAATAAAAGAAGCATCTTTTACTGTAAATTCAAAACGTCTGATCAAAGATTTTTATAGGCCATAATGCTTTACTTGCCTGCTCGCTAATGTTTTACAGGCTCTAGTCCATATCAATTTAGGCGTTATCATTAACCCCAAATATTTATATGCATTTACTATTGCCATAGGATTCCCATTAAAGAAGAATGTTTCATATTTTGACAGAGGCCCACCCATTTTAAAGACAATTATTTTACTTTTAGCTAAATTAATGTCCATACCCCATCTATAAGAATAATTATGTAGTTTTCGTAGGGAGCTTTTAAATAGTTCCGATTGAGTCATCAGTGACAGTTCTGATTGGATCATTATGTGTAAGATGTTTGTGTTTTTAAAATGTATATCCACCCAGTAATTTAAACCAAACATATTTTATAATATTCCCTCTTTTTTTAACATGATGACTTGACCTGATGCTGAAAGTGACACAGGTATTTTCAAGTGGTTGCCATTTTGTGCAGTAATGGGGTTGATCTGTTTAATTTCATGTACTCAGAAAAGCAGCTGGTTGAGGTGTCATTATTTTATTGCTACTTAATGGCTTAAATTAAGTTAACATTACAATAGAAGTCAACAGGGAAATATTTGGTTTCATGTAACCTATTAAACCAGTTACAAATTGAACCACGTGTCCACACTCTGTTTCAGTCAGAAAGGTCTTTGGTACTACCAGACACTGACCTGCCGCCACCAAGTTGTTCAAGGCGTTTACCCAGCTCCACCTTCACTTCCTGTTGTAGATACATGTCTCCCGACAGTAGACTGCTGAAAACAGCACAGCCTCAGAGTTATCTCCCTTGATGTGTTTTCATGAAATGATATATGTTCCCAAGCTGACAGTAAATGGCTTAAAAGACCTAAAATGTAAACTCCTTTGACTTATTCTTGTATACAAGAGTTATCTCCCTTGATGTGTTTTCAAGAAATCAAATGTATCAACAGTTAAAAGAAGTTCATGTCTGGGAAATAAAATGACTCACTTTTGAATTTATTTATGTTATTTCAAGAAATCTAATCCTCACAATGATTATGAAACTGTCATTTTTAATGAGAATACCTTTTTCAGGCAAGTTTTGTCATTAATGATCCATGATAGTGCCAAAAAGGTGTGGAATTATAGAAATATTTTGGCACAAACAATGGGTCAAGCTCTATTCCTGATATACCTTTGATCCAGTCCACTTGAATTAATGATGAAGTTTGTATCCACTAAGGCCAGACTCTGTTGAAAATAAGACAAACATTGACTTATAAACCACTCTCATAATAAACCTCATCATTAGCATGTTTGCTTTTATGCTGCCTTTGCCGCTCTTTCAGTTACATCACAAAATACCATAGCAACAGTAAAACAAACCTATTCATTTCAATCAAATGAGTATTGAAGGCTTACCTTGAACACTGAATAAACGACAGACACCTAATGCCTCTCTATGAAATATTGTTAATAGCTTTCGAATATTATAAAGGCAAAAAAAATTAACAGAACTTTAACCTTGTCCTATTTGATCTTAGCTACACATTTCAGTGTCAATAACTCAACTAAACTGAATGAAAGTACACATTTAAAAATTTGCTTTGAACAAAAACCTTTATCTATCTTTTATTAAGCAGAGAACAGTTGCCAAAACACTGAAAATATAAGGTCTAAAACCAAACAATGATATTGATATGAAACACATCACTGGCGAATACTCATTTCAAGTTTCTTTCCTTAGTAAGTGAGGTGAGGTGAAATGGGGTTTAACATCGTACTTAAGAATATTTCGCTCATATGACGACGCACATGTGCGTGTATGTACAGCTGCGTGTACTAGCATGAATACCCCACTCAGACACATTATACTGACTCCGAGCCGACCAGTCCTTGTTGTACCAATTAATGCTGAGCGCCAGGCAGGGACCAACAAGTACCATATTTTAACGTCTTTTGGTATAACATGGCTGGTTTCCTTAGTAACCATCATCAAACATGAGTATGTTTCCCCCGCAGTTTCTGCGTCCATTTGGTGGTGTAGATGCAATACTTACAGTGAGACTGAGGACGCGAGACACCATGGACGTAGACTGGAGGTTGGCGAAGGGTTTGTCTATTCCCCAGGTTTCCAAGTATTTGGTAACTTTCAACGAGGCTCGCATCGTGTGTTCAAATCTTGTCCTCGCCAGCTTCTGTCTCCTTGGCTGAAAAATCAGCTGATGTTATAAAACCATTTCACAGTCAGTATCTTTACATTGGTGGTTATAATCAGATATTAAAATGAATTTGTTAATTCAGAAATTTATTACATGCTTTCATGGGTGATCGTGTAACTAGCTACAATTGGTTCAATTTTCTACTCAGTAATTGATGAAATAGTAATAATAATTTTTTAAATTGTTTCAGTTCCTGTCTTATCAATAAACACACATTTATGTGGAGGAGTAAAACTTTGTTCAAAAGGTTGAACTTATCTTGAGATATATAATGAATTACCATTGCTTGCAGGGTAATTTATTTACAGCAAACTATCTTTATATAACGACATAACATGTTTGTTAGTTCTAACCACTTGTATATATTTTTTTAAATACGTATAATGAACTATGATTACAACAAACTAATAGTGCTCCCTTTGTGTTCATTGTAACCGTCGTCACGATATGGCTGAGATATTGCCAATGTGACGTTAAATATTAACTCACTCACTCACTCATTGTAATATACTTTACCGTATTTACTGTGTTAAGATATGAGTTATGGGTGGTCATTGTGTGATAACAATAGCACAGCAGGACACAAATGAAACTAACTTTTGCAGCAACATAGGTGAGGTGAAAGTGAATTTAACTTCATATTAAGATCACTTCATTAAAAGTGATGTGCCCTACTTGTCCTAGTACAAAGTGATTCTGGTTTGATGGTGCTATTCCACTAAAGTACTTTGCCACAGTTTAACATGACACATAAAAATCTCAGTTAGAATTGGTCTTCAGCAACCCATGCTTGTTGTAAGGGCGACTAGCAGGATTGGTTTGTCAGGCTCGCTGACTGGGTTGACACATGTTATCATATCCTATTTGCATAGATCGATGCATATGATGTTGATCACTGGATTGGCTTGTCCAGACTCGATTATTTACAGACTGGCAGAATATTGCTGGAATATTGCCGAGTGCACCATTAAACAACAGACAAACAGAAATAGTTCAATATGGATGCCCCATTCAGACAGTAACAGGTGAACCATAAGTACAACATTATATTCCCTTTGGATCAAACGCACCTGGCATCAAACCACACACATTCCAATTTCCAGCAAAACACTATCCACTAGACCACAGTGCTTGAATAAAACTAATTTCATTATCCACACAGCAAAGTGAACATGTCAGAAGGTTATCTTTCAAAAGTGATTACTGTGATCACTAAGATGTGCCCTTTTACAATGTGTGAATTTTTGTGTCTCTCAAGTGATTGAAAACAATTTGTGTGGCAGAGTGCTGTGTACTATCGATTGAAAACTGAAAAACATTGTTGACAGTTGTCAGTCTTACACTATCCTCCAAACTCTCCCTGTCCCATAATTCCTCATCCGCCTGTCAACAACAATTGCCATCATTCAAAGGCACTTATGTTTCCAGGCACCAAAACAGATTGTAAAAATGAAGATGAACATGTGTTGTAAAAGAATTATGTTACTAATATTATCTTGTCCTTAAAAGTACTGATATTTCTTCTTAAGAATTCCTGAGAATTCAGTCGTAATATTATATACGATAAACTAATTTATGTATATATTATGGATGGAAGCATCACTCACCCTTCTCTCAAACGGCACAACAAGGAAGGTGTTCATGTTGTTGTCGGCAATGAAGCGACTCCTGGTGTGAGCATTGCCCGGCTCTACCTCGTATTGTCCCCCTAGACTGTCCAGGGTCTGCTGGGAGATGTGAACACGCCTGGGGATGGAGGAACAGAATGTTAACAGGACACCTGGGGCACAAACTTCTGACATGTCGTGTCTCATTGTTTGAAAAGAAATATGCTTCTTGTCAGAGGACTTTTTATGTAAAATAGGTTTTAACCGAGTAAGAGTTGACTCCCTTTGTCTAACTGACTGTGTTTTCAAGATTTGTGTAAAGTTGAGAGTTATCTCCCTTGGTCACTTGTTTCTTTCTGCTCATGGCATATAAGAAACAGCCTTTTTTCTCACTAGCAATTTTAGCTAATTTTGCAAACTTTGTATATTTAATCAGTTGCTGATAGGGCATTCTTTGCAGAGTATATCAGTTATACATTGTTCAATATCAGTTATTGGTTTAAAGAGCCCTACCCAAATTTGGCAAAAACATAAAAACTATATTAAAAAATGCTGTTTTGTGACTCATGTTTTCTTTGAAAACATCATTTATGTGTGAGTTTGTCTCCTTACCCTGGCACCCCCGATGACTCCATGTGGTTTGGCAATGGTGACGTCATCAGACCACACGTCATACTGCCACTTCCTCCGGCCCAGAACTCCACACAGCACCGTACCCGTATGAACCCCAATACGCATGTCTACATTCACACCAGTCGCCTCCCTCACTTCCCTGTAAGGAAAATTACCATCATTAGAAGAAAAAATACCTTGTAAATCTCTTTAATACGCGAAAGATATGTCTCATGCACGAAAAGTGAATGCAAAACAATTGTGACCTTCTGGTCATCATGTGCAGCCTATTTATACTATATAGTATAGTATCTGACATGTATTTACTAAGTATCACGTGCCACGGGCAGTTGTGAGAGAGATGTTGGCCGAGGCAGAAAACATGCTATCATTCAGGCATAGGGCTACATGGTTTTCAACCGTATTTCAGAGTAGTAAAGTGTTTTGCATTGTAAATATGTGTAACTGTAATAGGCCTGAATAAAGAAGTGGAACAACGTCCTGTGTTTGTGGAAGCTATAATATGATTCCAATAACATGTCCTATCTGTCCACAAGAAATAAAGTGATAAGGCCAGACTGAAATTTTATTTCTTGTTTTACGATTTTTGTTACTCAGAAAACCTAAAGGCAGGAGGGAACAAAATAAAAATAAAATCACCAGTCAAAGTTATATCCCTTCTAAATATTCGAAGTATTTTACTTTTGGCAATTTATGAAGTGTGTATGGTGCAAAAAATTAATCTAAAAAACATTTTCTTGTAAGTTTTTGGCCAATAAAAACATCATGATCTTATTTTTTGAGCGAAAATTTATTATTATTTTTTTTTCTTATTCTTCAAAAAATATGACTGGCAGATCCATAAAACAAGAAATAAAATTGGTCTGGCCTAAAAGAAATTATTAGCACACTGTCCATCCTGAGTACGTGGTTAGTGTTGTTGCAATAACCTGCTATACTGTATGCCAAAAAGTTGGAGGATATAATCAAAGTGTCTTCTTTTCAGGATTAAAAGGGGTGGGTTAGCCTAGTGGTTAAATCGTTGGCTCATCACGCTGAAGACCCGGGTTCAAATCCCCACATGGGTACAATGTGTGAAGCCCATTTCTGGTGTCCCCTGCCGTGATGTTGCTGGAATATTGCTAAAAGCGGCATAAAACCAAACTCAGTCAGTCAGGATTAGAAAGAATAGTTGTTTGTGCAGAAAGGTTTGGAAGAGTTTCCTCCCTTGGTGTGATTTTACATCACCTTCGTGCAGTTCAATGGTTTGACATTTTTACCCTGTACAATACTTTTACTGCTTTCATTCCAGCAAGATCATGGGCTTCAGCGTGGCGAGCAAACACTTTATAATCTCTATTCTACCTCACCACCCATGTATATCTGAATCGCAGCCTCAAACTGTTCTTGAATATGATTCATAGTATAAGACATACGTACATAATAAGAGTTACGCTCACATCCCATCACACACAGTTTATGTAACACATGTTAAATTTAGGGTTACACGTTCTTGGTGAAGTACAGATACTAGTATGCTATTGGGTTGAGTCCAATCCAGGATTCGAACCCACACTCTCAGTGTCAGGTGCCTAATCGCCAGCACACAAAGTCAGTGATCCAACCAGCAACCCAATCTGCACCATTCTGAGAGTCTGGGTTCAAATCCGAGATGGGACTGAACCCCCAAGAGATCTTGAATCTGTACCTCACTGACAAGGTGTAATCTGAAATGCAACATGTTTCACATTTGACCACTTTCTAAATGGCACTTCCTATTAACAGATTTAACAAATTAAGGCGTGAACATTCCCTCTGGATTATGGTTGCCTAATTCTGTGGTTTCCACAGACACATACAGAATGAAGTGAAAATTTTAACACTAAGTCATAGCTATCCCTAGTGGTATGCCCTTCCAACTGACAGAGTTACCTCCCCCTGACTTAGATGTCACTGTATAGTAGTTTGATAATCCTCACAAATTTTCTGTATGGTATACACTGTACACGTGTATAGAGTGGAGTGAAAATTTGACTTCTATCAGCTTGTTTTCTACACTGATCCATCCCTATATAGGTTAGTGTTGTCGGCATTAGTACTTTGGACATCGTATTTGATTTTATTTTTAGCATTTCTAATGACCTGATAGCTTCAATCATGCGTAGCCCCATGCGGACGCAGTTGGCAGCGTTGTCCTTGTCAGCGGATGGGATGCCAGACACGCAGTAGTAGCAATCCCCCAGAATCTTGATTCGCATACAGTTGCTCTTCTGAAATCAGTAAGAGAGTTTGGTGTCAGGCTGCTAATGGAATCACATCCAGTCGGGACGGGTTATTTTCAACACTGCAAGATTCTCAAATTCACCTGCCTGGTGGTCGGGTTAGAATTTAGACATGTATATGAAGATATTTTGCGGGCAAGTAAGTTTTGGTCAGCTGACTAGTTTTACATCTAACCAGTCCTGTGGTCTGACTGAAATTTTGGGGAGTTTCATTATACCCTGATATTGCTAAAAGCGGCATAAACCCTCACTCACTCTTTGTGGTTGAAGATTTTGAGGAAATACTGCTCAAATCTGGAGTTAATCAATGAAATACAGAACAATACCTTGGCTAACTGATCAAATCTGCCAAACAGCTCATTCAGCATTTTAACAAGTTCAGCTGCTGTGCAGTCGGAGGCCAGCGGTGTGAAGTTGACAATGTCTGCATACAGGATACTGCAAGGAGAAAGTGCATCGTCAGTACCTCACTGGTATGTATACACCACCTTCCTTCATCATCTGTGAATATATATAACTACATGCATCCATTAGGTAGTGTAATATGGATGTTTTTATTTGTTGTTTAATGCCGCACTCGGCAATATTCAAGCTACGTGGTGGCGGTCTGTAAATAATTGGATCTGGACCAGACAATCCAATGATCAACATCAAGAGCATCGATCTATGCTATTGGGATACTATGACATGTGTCAACCAAGTCAGCGAGCCTGACCACCCGATCGCGTAAGTCTTTTTTCACAAGCATGAGTTGCTGAAGACCAATTCTAGCAGGACCAGATTTTCATGGGTCTAATAGTGATAAGGGCCTTGTAAAGTGATAATTTATTGGGAGGGTTGGAGTCATGACAAAAGGGCACAGCAAAAGAGGAGAGTTGCCAAAATCATTCCCAACTATATATTTTTGCATGTGGGAGTTGGGCAGTAAAAAATGACATTTCTTTTTTTCAGATAAAGAAGGTCATAAATCTAAATATTGTTTACAGATTCGAGGAGAAGAAGGAGTAGAACAGGAAAAGAAAGGAAGAGAAGGAGAAGAGAAAAGAGAGGAGGAGATAAGAGGAGGAGAGAAGAAGAGAGTAGAAAGGAGAGGAGGAAAGAAGAGAGGAGAGAGGAGACAAAGAAGAGGAGGAGGAGGATAAGAGGAGGAGAGAAGAAGATGAGAGAGGAGAGAAGAAAGATGGAGGAGAAGAAGAAAAAGGATGAGAAGAGGATGTGGAGGAGAAAGATGAGGAGAAGAAGATAAGAGTAGGAGAGAAGAAGAAGAGGAGGAGGATGGGGAGAAGAAGAGGATGTGGAGAAGAAGAAGAAGAGGAGGAGGATATTTTTGGGCAGCGATGAAAATATGTTACATGAAATGTGGGAAAGGCTAAATATCAGCTAAATATGATACAACCCCAAGCCAATCCCAACAGCACCCACACCCTATAACAAATGACCAATTCCTAACTGACAGTTGTTACAAGCTTCCCTTACACTAGCACTGTGTCCTGATTCATTATCTACATGAACATCGCACCGACCAATGGTATAAACAGATGATGGAAGAACTTATACAGTCCGTATACAGCCATGACTGGCTGTTCCGTTTCTGCAGTTTCACCCCGCCGCGACAGATAACAACTTTTGCATTTTCAATTATGATAGTTTCTTAAAGAACTTTTTTGGTGGAGTCCAGAAAATTTTCAAATATAAGAAAGCTGTTGGGTATTAGTAAATGATAAACATGTGTACTATTTATATTTATGTGGCAATTTTGTACAATGATAAAATTTGTAATTCATCGATCGGTCCGTTTCTGACTCAAATGGACTGTAAGTACAAGGACTGTCATTGTCACAAGTATATGATAACAGCACTCCTACACATACCGGTAGTCAGTATGATGTATTTAAACACACAGTCATATGAGGGGAAATACTAATTTCCATCTATCTATAATCCATGTGATCTAATTCTAAGCCACCTTACATAGTCATGTTATTATCAAGAGCAACGTCGTCAGGCTACATGGAATTAGATGCTGCTGAAAGAATGAGTTCCTGCACTTCCTCACTGTCTTTTCCAGACTCATCAACCATGCCACTACAGTAATCACGTTGGCATTAGGAGTATGGTCGACAGAATCAATAACTCCTTCGTGAAAAGAACTTCTATTCAACCAATGTATATGTATTCATTTTGACAAATAATGTGATTTTCTGTGTTTCTAGTTAATTTACTCATAAATGAATGTATAAACTTCAAAAGGATACGTCTTCCTGAAACAGCAGCAATATATATAGCCTAATTAGATGTGGCAGTAATCAACTGCTTCATTGAATTAATGATGATTCGGAGGCTGCTGGTGAGATACAGATACCACATCCCTCTGGGGTGAGGGGGGTGGGGGTGACATTGCAGAACATGGTGGATCTATTGTTTCACTGACCTAGTTACAGAAACTGATTAGTGCTACTGGGTTATGTAGTGCAATATACATCAGCAGACATAATAGATATATACACTGGCCAGCTGATACAATAGATATATACACTGATATTGGTGATATGTACACCAGTCAGCTGGTACAGGTCATTTATGTGGTGCACATCTGTAAATAAAGGTGATGAAGTAGTGTTTGTGCAATCCAGGAGTAAAACATATTAGGTTCTTTCAAGGATTTCCAATAGTTATTGACTGACTGGAAAAGTAATTGGGTTGCTGAAGATAAAGGTTCTCTTTGGATACATTCCGTGAGAAAGATTAATGGGATTTAGTCATGAGATTTTGGGACATTGTTTTTTAAATTGAAGTATTTTAGAATTAAAATTCTTCAGGAATGGAATGTTAAGAATTTAATTCTGAAAATACATAGCTATTTAAAAAGAGGTTGTTGGGCTTCGCATCACTTTGAAACCTTATGATAGCTTGCAGGTAAATATGTAAAGGGGTTAGGTGACGTGTAATGGGGTTTACGATTACAGAGATCTGTGTAGTGTGTGACTCACCTGACATCAGTGTAGTCCAGGACACACCTTACATCACTGTAGTGCAGGACTCACCTGACATGAATGTAGAGCAGGACTCACCTGACCTCTGTGTAGTACTGGACTCACCTGACATGTGTATAGTACTGGACTCACCTGATATGAGTACAGTACTGGACTCACCTGATATGTGTATAGTACTGGACTCACCTGATATGAGTACAGTACTGGACTCACCTGATATGTGTATAGTACTGGACTCACCTGATATGTGTATAGTACTGGACTCACCTGATATGTGTATAGTACTGGACTCACCTGATATGTATAGTGTGTCACTGATACTGACAGTACCTGACTCACCTGATATGTGTATAGTACTGGACTCACCTGATATGTGTATACAGTCACTGGACTCACCTGATATGTGTACAGTACTGGACTCACCTGATATGTGAGACAGTACTGGACTCACCCTGTATGTGTACAGTACTGGACTCACCTGATATGTGTACAGTACTGGACTCACCTGATATGTGTATAGTACTGGACTCACCTGATATGTGTACAGTACTGGACTCACCTGATATGTGTATAGTACTGGACTCACCTGATATGTGTATAGTACTGGACTCACCTGATATGTGTATAGTACTGGACTCACCTATATGTGTACAGTACTGGACTCACCTGATATGTGTATAGTACTGGACTCACCTGATATGTGTATAGTACTGGACTCACCTGATATGTGTACAGTGCAGGACTCACCTGACATCAGTGTTGTACAGGACTCACCTGATATGTGTATAGTACTGGACTCACCTGATATGTGTATAGTACTGGACTCACCTGACATCAGTGTTGTACAGGACATCAGTGTAGTGTGTGACTCACCTGACATCAGTGTAGTGAGGGACTCACCTGACATAAGTGTAGTGGGACACACCTGACATCTGTGTAGTGAGGGACTCACTTGACATCTGTGTAGTGAGGGATTCACCTGACATCTGTGTTGTACAGGACTCACCTGACATCAGTGTAGTGTGTGACTCACCTGACATCAGTGTAGTGAGGGACTCACCTGACATCTGTGCTGTACAGGACTCACCTGACATCAATGTAGTGTGTGACTCACCTGACATCAGTGTAGTGCAGGACTCACCTGACATCAGTGTAGTGTGTGACTCACCTGACATCAGTGTAGTGAGGAACTCACCTGACATCTGTGTTGTACAGGACTCACCTGACATCAGTGTAGTGTGTGACTCACCTGACATCAGTGTAGTGAGAGACTCACCTGACATCAGTGTAGTGAGGGACTCACCTGACATCTTTGTAGTGTGTGACTCACCTGACATCAGGGTAGTGAGGGATTCACCTGACAGCTGTGCTGTACAGGACTCACCTGACATCAGTGTAGTGTGTGACTCACCTGACATCAGTGTAGTGAGGGACTCACCTGATATCTGTGTTGTACAGGACTCACCTGACATCTGTGTAGTGTGTGACTCACCTGACATCAGTGTAGTGAGGGACTCACCTGACATCTGTGTTGTACAGGACTCACTTGACATCTGTGTAGTGAGGGACTCAACTGACATCTGTGTTGTACAGGACTCACCCGACATCTGTGTTGTACAGGACTCACCTGACATCAGTGTAGTGAAGGACTCACCTGACATCTGTGTAGTGAGGGACTCACCTGACATCAGTGTAGTGAGGGACTCACCTGACATCAGTGTAGTGTGTGACTCACCTGACATCAGTGTAGTGAGGGACTCACCTGACATCTGTGTAGTGAGGGACTCACCTGACATCTGTGTTGTACAGGACTCACCTGACATCAGTGTAGTGAGGGACTCACCTGACATCAGTGTAGTGAGGGACTCACCTGACATCAGTGTAGTGAGGGACTCACCTGACATCAGTGTAGTGAGGGACTCACCTGACATCAGTGTCAGTGTAGTGCAGGACTCACCTGACATCAGTGTAGTGTGGGACTCACCTGACATCAGTGTAGTGAGGGACTCACCTGACATCTGTGTAGTGAGGGACTCACCTGACATCAGTGTAGTGACAGACTCACCTGACATCAGGGTAGTGAGGGACTCACCTGACATCAGGGTAGTGAGGGACTCACCTGACATCAGTGTAGTGAGGGACTCACCTGACATCTGTGTAGTGCTGCACATACAGGTCCTGGAAGGGGGAGGGTTTGGGTGCCTTGCTCATCATCTGCTTCTGGAGATCCTCCTTCATCTGGTTCATCAGGTTGCTGGGGATACAGCTGATGAGAAGCTCCTCCTAAGGACCACAAACATCAGCATCTCAACTATTCCAGGAGCAAGAAAATTGGCAAATTCTTGTACCAACTAAAGCAAAATGAACTCCAGGACAAAAATAAAAAAATAAGTTACCTCTTACATTTACTGCAAGGTCTTCTCATTTCAAGAGAATTCAGTGTTACTTAATTTCAGAGCGAATGTAAATGAACTGATTCCTGGAAGAATAGGAATCACATTATAGGAATAATATAAATAGCATTCAAACTATTCAAGAATTTCAAGAGGCTTTGTGATACCATCTGATGTTAAAGTCTTTCGCTTAAAAGTATTTTTCTAGTTAAAAAACTGACAAAGAGATTGGCCCTCTATTGGTGCTGCAGATGTTCAAATCCTGACACAACATGACAGATTGGCCCTATGTTGGTAATGAAGATGCTCTAACCCTGACACAACATGACGGATTGGCCCTATGTTGGTAATGAAGATGCTCTAACCCTGACACAACATGACAGATTGGCCCTATGTTGGTAATGAAGATGTCCAAATCCTGACACAACATGACAGATTGGCCCTATGTTGGTAATGAAGATGCTCTAACCCTGACACAACATGACAGATTGGCCCTATGTTGGTAATGAAGATGCTCTAACCCTGACATAACATAACACAGAGATTGGTCCTCTGCTGATGTCACTAGAGCTCCTCACCTGCTGTTTCTTCTCCCTTTCCAGTTTGATGCTTGACTCCACAGAGTTCCTGGCATCAAGGAACGCTCGTCGGTGAGCCAAATCGGACAGTGACTTGTGGTAAAGACCAACCAGATTGGCACAGAGAAGCATCACAGCATTAGCAACGAGCTGAGGATGAAATTGCAAAATACGGAGCAGTCAGATGTATTTTGTTCTTTTAATTCACAAAAAATCTAAAATATAATGTGCTGTATGTAACAACAAGTTACTAATGCATAGTATAGGTATACAATATTTACAGGCAGACAATACTTTGAATATTGTTCCCATGACAACTACTGGAATCATAAAGGTCAAGGTCACAGATTTCCAATATAACTGCCTCTATTGCATTGTCCTCAGTCTTCTTACAGTCCCTTAACCACATTATTTTCCCTCCATCTAGCCCTTTCTGCAATGCTAAAGCCCTAAATGAAGCAAGTCTAGATTTCCTCAGATTCTGAATCTCCCATCTCACTGGGGTTCCTTTTCAATTTAATGGAATTATTTGTTTCTGTCAAAATTATATACATTCAGAGACTAAGTACCATCTGTCTACATTGTCCTACCAACCTGTTGTGGCAGATGCAGAGTTAATCTATCCAGACAGAACCCCGGACAATACAAGCTCCAGGACCAAAGACAGAGATCCAACTGCAAACGACCATTTTTTGGACAATGGCAGCACCATATAGCCCACCAAGGTGATATAGAACATGACAGGCATGTCATCAGCGTGGGTGCGGCGGGGGCTGAAGCTGTAGTAGAGGGACATGAGTGACAGGATGGAGAGCCACACAGCAGCTGAAAGGAGGGAGGTGTGTTTCTGGTAGATCTTCTTCAGGGTGGTGAAGACAATGAGGAACACCTTCAACAGAGCACCACAGCCTAGTATGGACACTTGGGCAGTCTGGGAAGGACTCTGAAACAGAAGGAGGAGAGGTACTGATCTGGATCATTGATCTTATTTCATTTGTTTTGTTAATACTTCATAGTTTTTTCTAGCCTGTATTTGTTTTCCTTCTTGGTAGCCTTACAATCATACCATGTAATTCCAAGTTTGGTCTCATTTTGGTCTGTCTCATAGTCCCAGAATTGCATTACTTTAACCTTCTGCTGAGCCCTTTCTGCAATGCTAAAGCCCTAAAAGAAGCAAGTCTAGATTTCCATTCCTTGTTTCATTGCAGTAGCCTATCTGCAAATCATGAAATAGTACAAGATGCCATCTTGTTTTCTAACAAGCAAGTCAATATTCATATGATGAGCCAATATTTGAGGTCAATGAAAGACATTATTTGGCAGTCTACATTTGATCAGATTGCACAGATCCACCAATGAAATTGCAAGATTAGTTAATAGAGGTATAGTATAGCAAGGCTGTTTGTGTATTGTACACATAGGAAAACTGATTTGTATGGATAGTCAACTTCTTTATTGCAATGAGTGCGACGTTTTGGTGTAGGTACTAACACCGTTATCACTTGCTTGATAACGGTGTTAGTACCTACAACCAAACGTCGCGACTCATTGCAATAAAGAAGTTGACTATCCATACAAATCAGTTTTCCTTCATCTTCACAACTTCTAAAATGCCTCTCAAAGAAAATATTGTACACATAATCTGACCAATCGCTGATCTGAGGACGTCCATCTTTCTTGAACCAGGCAAGTCGTAATTTGATAATAGTTAAATTCCTTTTAAAGATGCTTGTCAATAGTGAGTGAGTTTAGTTCTATGCTGCAATATTCCAGCTATATGGCGGCGTCTGTAAATAATCGAGTCTGGACCAGACAATCCAGTGATCAAAAACATGAGCATCGATCTGCGCAATTGGGAACCTGACCACCCGATCCTGTTAGTTGCCTCTTACGACAAGCATAGTCGCCTTTTGTGGCAAGCATGGGTTGCTGAAGACCTATTCTACCCCTGATCTTCACGGGTCAATAGAATATGGTCTGATGTAGTAAGTTTCTGATGTTACTGATGCAGTGAGCAATCTCAGACAGTTCATTTTTTGGTTTAGAGTTGTCTCCCCTACCTTGTGTGCGTCCCCGTGTGCTAGATGGATGATGATCATTATGATAGACACTGCCACGTCCAGGCCGAGGTACATAACGATGAGGGACTGTTTGATCTGGATGCTGTACTGATGGTACATCTCCTCCAGGTCAAGTTCCTTGAAAGAGATCTGCAAACAGAACATAGATGTAGCTTGTTAGGCATCCTGACTGACCAGTGTATTCATTGACATCTCATTACAATAGCCAATTTGGACCAAATGTCCATTTTGAGTAAAGGTCAATCACATTCAATATAACTAGTAATTTGACATGACTGTACTGTCAGAAACACAGGAGGTGGTCAGGCTCGCTGACTTGGTTGACACATGTCATCATATCAGAATTGCGTAGATTGATGCTCTTGCTGTTGATCATTGGATTGTCTGGTCCAGACTCGATTATTTACAGACTGTCACCATATATTGCTGAGTGTGGCATTTAACAACAAACCAACCAGAAACACAGCAGGAATGTCTTCCAGCATAAAGACTGCCAACACCTGTTTTCATCCTCACAAACACAAATATTCCAACAAAATGTTCATTTATAGCAGTCTTCTGATTTGATATATTAGCATATCAATGGTTCACATGAGTTGGTTTTTAAAGTAAGTGAGCGAGTTTAGTTTTAAGCCGCACTCTAAATAAAATATATCACAGCTATATAACGGCGGTCAGTTAATAATCGAGTCTGGACCAGACAATCCAGTGATCAACGTCATGAGTATCAATCTACATAATTGGGATATGAAGACATGTGTCCACCAAGTCAGCAGGTCTGACCACCCAATGTCGTTGGTCGCCTCTTACGACAGGCAAGGGTTGCTGAAGATCAATTCTATCCGGGATTTCCTCAGGTCATTTGGGATACGAAGACATGTGTCATCCAAGTCAGCGTGTCTGACCACCCTATCCCCTTAGTTGCCTCTTGTAACAAGCATGGGTTTATGAAGTCCAATTCTAACCCAGAATTTATTGGTCCTGTTTTTAAAGAAGATCAATGCTGGACTCGAGTTCAGAAGTGGCATTTGGATTTGTTATTGATATCAAGGTCATGAGCAAGAGATATTTCTTGCTTTGAAGAGATGCAAGGGATGGTGATGTCATTTCAGTAACAAAGAAATGGTGACCAATGGATGTAAGCTAAATATACTTATAGGGTCATGTTCCGACATATATGGTAGCTTTCCCAGATAGAACAAGTCATAAGAAGTACAGTATATAGAAATTTATTTAAATGAACATCAGAGAGAGATAAGGAGAGATGAGAGAGAGAGAGAGAGAGAGAGAGAGAGAGAGAGAGAGAGAGAGAGAGAGAAAAGAGAGAGGAAGAGAAAGGAAGAGAGAGAGAGAAGATACAGTGGGAGCATTAATGTTTGATTACGTTGGTACATTCAAACATTGTTCCAGTTAGATACTTAGTGAATTGTTTAGGTAACAATGCATATATGGTCTGATATTTATGATAGAGAGCATTGTAATGACATCATATTTAAATATTACATGTATTAAGGCACATTTTATGCGTTATCCGGGGTAATAAGAATCAGATTCTGATTAAGCCGTGAGCAATCACTTGGTGTTTGGAAACTGTGTGCTATAGAAGATGACTTATTATTAGTATTATTTTATGAATAGCTGCCATTAAAGGAGGTTTAACATTATGTTTCATTGCAAACCTGAGATTCATAATTGATACCCATGATTATATAAAGAGGATGTGATACTCTCAGTTATTGAGAATCATGTTTTTTGTTACACTGTGCAACTTCAACAGTCAAATGTCAGACAGTTCTATATTTTATCTTTTACCAATGACACTGTGCAGCTGAGAATCACTTGCTAAAAGTCAAATCGTCACACATAAGGTGTTACATATCAGACAAAAGTTAATTGAATCCCATTTTACAACAAAAACAGTTTTTAATGGAGGTAGTGCTGTGCAGTGTTCTATCAGTTAAGGGGGCTGTGGGGTAGCCTAGTGGTTAAAGCGTTGGCTCGTCACACCGAAGACCCGGGTTCGATTCCCCACATGGGCACAATGTGTTAAGCCCATTTCTGGTGTCCCCCGCCGTGATATTGCTGGAATATTGCTAAAAGCGGCGTAAAACTAAACTCAGTCAGTCTATCAGTTAAGTGCTTTTTTTATTGTAACCTGGTACCACATTACCACATTCATAGCAATCTTAACTGGAGCTTGTTGTATACACTACAAAATTGAAATAACTAAAAGCAGTCGGCATAACTACTTCAGTGAAGCCATATTTTCAGGATATCCACAAGTAAAGATACAGGCATATTTATACAGAGGAGGTACAGATTTTGTCAAAATGGGCATGAAAGAATGACAGCAAAAGGAGTAGGGGTGTGGGGTGCCACCAAAATTTATCACCGTTAGGCCATGAAAGAATACTCTATTTCTTTTTAAATAAAATATTTTAAATCCAATAGGAAATTATTTTTTTTCCAGTATTTCTTTTAGAACAAATTATTTCTGGCAAAAGTGAATCCAAGGACCCTATTCAAGAATATCAAGCATACAAAACCATGGTTCCGTTACATCATGTGAAGACAATTCTTGGTGACTCCACAAGATTTTGTTGGAACTGTCAACACGTAGATACGCCCATTTCTGGTATTCCCCACCACAATATTGCTGGAATATTGCTGAAAACGGCGTAGAACCATACTCACTCACTCACTATTCAACAGGGTAAGCTATACCCAATGATCATCCAAATAGGCAACAGAGATGGTGTTCTGCTTGTCTCAGTGGCAGTGTTACTAGGACAAAATACTACCAACTTGGCAGAAGAAAAATCCATTCATTCACAGAGCAAATATTGTAATGATGTGTATGAGTAAAGGTATAATGCAGTTTGCAGATCATGTTTACTCAAGGTATAATGCAGTTTGCAGATCATGTTTACTCAAGGTATAATGCAGTTTGCAGATCATGTTTACTCAAGGCATAATGTAGTTTGCAGATCATGTTTACTCAAGGTATAATGCAGTTTGCAGATCATGTTTACTCAAGGTATAATGCAGTTTGCAGATCATGTTTACTCAAGGCATAATGTAGTTTGCAGATCATGTTTACTCAAGGTATAATGCAGTTTGCAGATCATGTTTACTCAAGGTATAATGCAGTTTGCAGATCATGTTTACTCAAAGCATAATGTAGTTTGCAGATCATGTTTACAGTTTCAGTTTACTCAAGGTATAATGCGATCATGTTGCAGATCATGTTTTTTATATCAAGGTATAATACAGTTTGCAGATCATGTTTAATCAAGGTATAATACAGTTTGCAGATCATGTTTAATCAAGGTCTGTATCGTATGTTTGTCTTCAGGCATTGTCACAGCTCTGTCAGGCAGTATCTGGAAATATAGGTCAGTTTCTTTTCAATTGTTGACATCTTCCAAGTCAGGGTCCCAATTCACAAAACATTTCTAACATTACGACCTGTCATGACTTTATAGTTTATCATCGTTTACAAATGTTGTAGTGCTACGAATGTTTTGTGGATCGAGACTTGTAGTCCATCCAAATCAGAATTAGTTTCTTCCAGGTTGGCAGACTGGCATCCAAAGTAACTGTGAATAACTTGATTTTATTACACTAAAGAAGAAAACACCATAGCCAGCACTGGCCTTGAATAGATCGTCTGGTCCATGAATATCCTTGAAATCGTGGACACCTCATGATTTCACCAAAGATGGGTATCTTGTCATGTCAGGACTGTGTAAACCACACAACAGTGCGCATGCCTTCTTGGGAGTCTGATGATTTGCCATCTTGTCTTCTTCTTGGGAAGACCTACAATGCCTCCTGCTTCCAGCAGAAATCCCTTCAGCTTTACATTCTCCTTCCACAAACTCCTCAGAGTGCCTCATGGGATGACTATGCTGTGGGTGATGGTGGTCTTTGATTTTCCATTTATCACCCTTCTTGATCTCCGCAGTGCCCTTGGCTTGTCGTTTGCTCTTATCTTATTATTGTTATGCAAACCTGCAACCTGCACTTTTATACCCAGTGTGGTTTCAGCACTCACTTCTCCTGAATGTGGTCATAGCATAGTTTCAACCAATATGTGATGATGATGATGATGATGATGACAACTGAGATGATGACAATAACAACGATGATGATACTGATGATATTGATGATGATGATGATGTCTTTGAATGGCATTTAGAAGTGATATCCTTCTCTTGTTGATGATGATGATGATGATGATGATGATGATGATGGCATGTAGAAGTGATATCCTTCTCTTCTTGATGATGATGATGATGATGATGATGATGATGATGATGATGATGATGATGATGATGAAATGATGACAATAACAACGATGATGATGATGATGATGATGATGATGATGATTCTCTTCTTTGATGATGATGATGATAGATGATGATCGATGATGATGATTCTTAATGATGATGATGATGATGATGATGATGATGATGATGATGATGATGATGATGATGATGATGATGATGATGATGATGATGATGATGACGACGATGACTTGACCCTTAAAACTACTCTTGAAATTTCACAGTGCTGATCTCATTTATTTACTCAAACAACAAATGATGATGTCAACACATGAAACATCAATATGGCAAATGGTTGTTTAACAATTGAAGTTCAGTTGACGATGTCAGGAGTCAGATCCCAATGGGACATATGTTTTTAACAAATAAAACAAACTGTACACAGCTGACTGAACATTCATTTCATTAGGTCATCTCCGCACTCTCACAAAATACATTTAATCACATGAGAAACATCAGGACTTCTATGGGAGCCAATGATTTGACTACATCTACGTAGTGTTATTGAGAGGCACAACTGTATAATTGTTTTGCTCTCACTAAACACATTCTCTGTTTAAAGCAACAAGCATCACGGGAGGATGACAAATCTCTTGGCTCTCACAAATTAGAGAGCACAAATCATCTGATCATTACAGCAAATCCTATAAGAGTGATGAGAGGACTATGTAATCTATTTGTCCCTGTACAAGAGTAGTTACTGAGCTATCAAAACACATAAATTGGAACCAGGGTCAAGAATTCGTCAGGTCCTTTTCCTCAGTGATATGAGTCAGGGGA